TTGATTTGAAATGTTCGGATTGTAGGGTTTGAAATAAACTGAATTCCGTTTTTTATAAAGAATTTACAAACACAAAATATATATAATTATAAAAACTTAATATTATTATTATATTTCATTGTTAAAGGCTATCTATTAATTTCCGAATATAGGTCTCAACTTTGAAGACTTCTATTATATTAATATTTTAGTTTAATGTGGAGTTGGAGATAAAAATATCTTATTTTTTTATGTTTTTAATGTTGGGTTTGAAAATGCCTTTAGGAAAAAAAACAAATTTTTTTTTTAAGATTTCGATATTAATTATATTATTAATATATTTAATATTTTTACAAAAATTTTATTAAATTTATATTCTCTTTTTGAGTTTCACTCCTTTAAAGTAATTAATTTTTTAATATTAATTATATTATAAAATAACTAATACATTTAATATTACAACAAGTCTTTTACAAAATGTTAATTTTATCTTCACACTCAACCAAAATTTACTTTTGTAGAATTCTTCTTTCTTCCTATAAAATATTGGGAAATTTTTCTTTCATTTTGAAGAATAAAACCCTAATTTTTTATTTTTCCATGTTCTTGATTTTGGAAATTCTGTTTAAATACTTACTCTAAACAATCAAATATGTTATTAAACTTATAAAAATCTTTTAATTAATTAAAGTTTTTGTTGGTACATTATTTTCTTATTATAATTGCATTTGGTTTGGGAAAAAAGGATAACAGAAAAAACAAGGAATTTAATAATAAGATTCTTGATTGCATGCATTAAAATGAAATAGAATTTGGTGGCACATGGTTTTGTCTGAGCTGCAGGACGAGATCCGTAATAACGGATTGCACCACTGTGTCTTGTTTGTTGGGCGGAGGCTGTTGACATTTGGTGGTTGGATTTTGATTCATAAGGCCTATTCCTTTAATACCTTCTCTTTTTGTGACCTCTGCTCCATTGAATTGACAAGGTCAACTCTCTCACTAGTAATTGTCTGTAATTTTAACGTTTTTGTTTCAATTTCAACGAGTTCTATTTGAAATTTTTAATGCTTATTTGGTGGATTCTATAAATCAAGTAGATTAGAGATATATGTTGGTCTACTCAAAGTGACTTAGACAATTGAAATTGAAATATTTATGTCATGTAAACCATGACTTCACTATTTAGTAAGATATCATGTCCGTATACATGTTATACTCGACCATCTTCTCCAGATGGGATATACTCGACTTATCTCTATCCATTGGTAGATGATATCTTTGTTAGTAACAAAATATGACATTTGCCATCTATATCTTGTCTTTATCCATTGATAGATGATATCATCCCATTGGGCTAATCATCATTCATTTTTAGCAATTGAAAAAACTCTTCTTGAAAATTCCATCCAAACTGCCTTGTTTTCTTGTAGTGGATAATGTATCCTGATATAACTGCATAGAGTTACTCCTTACTGTTGCTCTTTTATATCAGTCATCAGTGTTAGTAACAAAATATCGCATATGCTATTTATATCGTCTCTATCGTCCATTGGTAGTTGATATTATTCCAATGGGCTGATCAACGTTCATTTTTAGCAGTTGAAAAAGCTCTTGGAAATTCTATCCAAACTGTGGGATAATGTATCAAGGGTATAATTGTACATTAATGTGTTACTTGTTACTGTTGCTTTTTTATATCTTTGTTAGTAACAAAATATCACATATGCTATCTACTCACAGTTTTTTTTGGCAATTGTTAGTGTACAGACCGGCTTGTATACATCTCAACTAATGCTATGAGACTGTGAAGAAAACAACTGAAAATCCCTAGCGCCCTAAAAAGACTTGAACTGCCGACCCATCCCCCTAAGTAGCTTTTATTTGCTAGTTGAGCTGGCTTTCAAGGTGACTGAACTTAGATTTCTTAGGTACAGAACCTTAGAAACTGCATGAGTAGAACTCGTATATCTTTTGTTGTGTTGATTTCAAATGAGAAAAAAAGGCTAAGGTTATGGTTACCTTTGGTTAGCTTTAGCTAATTGACATATCTTAGACCATCTTCAATGGTGAAAACAAATCTTACACCAAATACCAAATTTGACACCAAATCATTCGAACAGGGACACCAAATTCGGTATAACGAATAGTAACACACCAAATTTGGTTTGTAACACTATTCACTTACACCCATAGGAAAAGATAAAAAAGAATATACCTAGAGTGTTACATTGTGTGTAAGATTTGATGTTACCCATTGAAGTAGATTCATTGTTTGCACCAAATTTTACACAAGTTTTTATGAATTTGGTGTTACCCATCAGAAATGCCCTTAGAAACTGTACCCTATTTGTCTTTAATACATTTCTCTTTTGTATGATTCTTTAAAGGATATGAATTTGATTCCATGAGCCTTTTTTTAACTGCAGGATCTGAAGAAGTGCAGCCATTGGTAGAAACTGTTAAGATATGTTCAAACCAAGAAGATTTGGAGGCCTGGAGAGCTCAGATCAGGATCAGAAAAGGGTTTGTAGCCAAGGAGTCTGTAAAAGGGCATATGGCAAGTTCTTTCTTTCTCATGTTGAAACTCTCTGTTCTTGAACACAAGCTTGGATTGATGATAGCATCTCCAACACATTCTCTATAATTTCTCTAAAATGGAGAAATAAAAGTAAAATCTCCAAAAAGAAGATGGTTACATTCAACTCTAAATGGTTTCTCCATTTTGAATATTTCAACATTACTAATATTATTTAGATATTCAGTAAAGTAATATCCCAACAAACTTTCAAATAAACTTTGTATGAAATGACATGGGCCGATTCAAATAAGAAATGTAAATACCGTGAGAATATAGGAAAGGAAGATTCATATGTGAATCCACTGAAAGATCCAAAAAAAAATCTATTTGAAAATCAGATCATTCATATGGGTTCACATATGCTTCTTCAAATGAAGTTTTTCAATGATTCACATGTGAAGCTTTCCTTTTTACCTTGTCATGATATTTAGTCTTCTTTTTGAACCTCCCATTGAAATGCTAATACATTCACCTTTATTTGTGGAAACAACAAAAAACATTAAAATTTGGAGAATTTATCTATCTTTCTCCATTTTAGAGAGAGTTTTGGAGGATCTGTTGGGAGAAACAAATTGTTAGAAACTCGAACATCTCAAATTTATCCATTTTGTAGAATCAGTTGTAAATGCTCGAAGATTGACCCCTCTTTTCTTCGCTATGCATATAAGAGTGGACTTCCATTGATTGACAGGTGAACGTTGTAAGAGGTTTGAAGTTGTATGAGAACATACTTGGTGATACCGAGTTAACTCGGTTAATTGACTATGTGCATAAACTCCGAGTTGCTAGCAGAAACGGAGAACTCTCAGGTGGATCCCATGCTTCGTGATGCTTTTTTAGTTAAACAAACTAGTTCATTCCTTTGAGACTGAAGTTTTGACATAGTAAGGGACTGGACAGGTTTGACAATTAAAGTATTCTGCAATTAAATATAGCTTTACTTTCATCGTAGGCTTCGGTCACATTTTTTGTAACCATGGGTATCCAAGATAACAGTAATGAGACCCTCAAGATAATAACCAAGAAAATCTTTGTTTGCCAGATGAGCTAGCTCCAAGGTTTAGACTATGGCACTTTATCCTGAGTGGTCTTGAGTAGACTTGAACTAACGACCAATCGGAGGAAACCAATACTTAGAGGCTGTTTATCAAATGTTTGTCAGGTACTTACCGGGTGTCACTGTGGTGCAATGTCATGCATCGATCTACAAGCCCCAAGCCCCAAGCCCCAAGCCCAATGTTATGCTATATATTCTAGAAGGGGTAAATTCTAAATAAATTGATAGTATAAGTAGGGGTAGGCGGGAGAGTATAAGTGCGTTTCTTAGGAGAGCTCTAGCCTTTCGAATAGCCATAAACCTCTTGTTTACTGTTGAATTTAGCAATCATTTGATAAATACCGGTTCATTTTAATGTTTGTCTGATCCTTAATTTGGGTTCATAACTTTATCCTTTATTTGGCTCTATCCGACGACCTGGGAGGAACCCAATACTTGGCCTTCATTTATCAGATAAGCTGACCCTCCAGGTTTAAGCTTTGTCACTTTAGGCCATCCTTAAAATAGTTCTTAAATATTACCATAAGGAATCCATGTGGCATGGGCACATTAATGAATAATAATGTTTAAAGAAACTCAAGATAACTCCATATACCGATTCTAATCAAGATGATCTCAATCCCTCTTTTGGGAGTTCATTTGACATATTTCTCATGCTTGTTTCATTTTATGTTTTAGGTAAATATTCAATTACAAAGTACTAGTTAATATTGCCGGTCCATAAATCCTTTTTCTCGACATTCTGATGTTATTAGGTGAGACGTTTATCACGTACAACCAGCAATTGAAAACGATCAAGAGAGAGGCTATTCAGTTTGGAACTCCGATATTTGGACAGATAAGAGATGAAACTACAGGTTTTTACCAAGATAGTAAGTAACCGTCAACTAATAGTTGCTTAAATTTCTGGAAACGGATAAACATTACTATTGGAGTTCCATATCAACTAGACTTTGACAATTTCTCCTCAATATATGTTGGAACCCTCTTCTCTCCTCAAACGCTCTTTTGTAGATTAATCTGCTGGGGTTCCACATATTCTCATTGGGGCGTCTGTCTTGTCTAGTCCCCTCTGGCACAGTATGTGCTTGGCTTGACTTGGACAATTTCTCCTCAATGTATGTCGGAACCCCTTCTCTCTTCGAGGGCACTTTTGGGGTTCCACATATTCTCATATGATATCAAAGTCAAGGTTTACCACTTTAGGGAACCCGACTAGCCCCCTCTTGACCCTCTGGCACCATCGGCTAGATTTAGAAAATTTCTCAACTATGTATGTTGGAACCCTCTCTCTTTAAGCACTCTTTTAGACAGTAACCTAGTGCAGTTCCACATATTTTGACATGGTATCAGAGTCAAGGTCTACCACTTTAGGAACTCGACACATGGGGGCACCCTTCTCGATTCTCTAGGACAATCTATTTATGTTGGCTAGACTCGGACTATTTCTACTCAATATATTGGAACCCCTCATTCTCTCCTCAAAGGCTCTTTTGGAGAGTAATCTGATGAGTGATGAGGTTACACACATTCTAACATGGTATCGGAATCAAGGTCTACCACTCTAGGGACTCGACACATGGGGGCACCCCTCTCGACCCTCTAGGACAATCTATGCTCGTCGGCTAGACTTGAACTATTTCTCCTCAATATATATTGGAACCCCTCATTCTCTCCTCAAGGCTCTTTTGGAGAGTAATTTGATGAGGATCCACATATTCTAACATGGTATCAGAGTCAAGGTCTACCACTCTAGGTACTCGACACATGGGGGCACCCCTCTTGACTTTCTAGGACAATCTATACCCGTTGGCTTAGACTTGGACCATTTCTCCTCAATATATTGGAACCCCTTATTCTCTCCTAAAGGGCTCTTTTTGGCAAGTAATCTGATGGGGTTCCACATATTCTCACAATTACATTGATACCTTACTTTATAACATGATCTACAGGCCATATCGAGCCAATACCAGCTCCTCTCGAAGGTGTCATTAACCATCTGATTAAATACCATCTAATTACTGAAAACAGACGACCAAACAGCTGCATCATAAACTTTTTCGACGAGGTATATAATCTGTCGTTCCAAACTTATGCATGTCATTTTGAATAAGGGACAAACTGAAGCCTGTTTACGTTTCATGTAGGGGGAGTTTTCGCAGCCTTTCTTAAAGCCACCTCATCTCGACCAACCCATTTCTGTCCTTTTTCTCTCGGAATCAACAATGGCTTTCGGGCGTACTCTAGCCTGCGATAAGGATGGAAACTATAGAGGACCACTCATGCTCCCTCTTAAAGAAGGGTAATAAGCATAAACTACTCTTTCAGTATGATCAAACTTCTTTAAGTTCCTTCTCAGTTCAAATATTCAGAATTTCAAAGAGTTCCAAGAGACTCTGCTCTATGTTTGGCAAATTAGGTGTTTTGCCGATAAACTAGTTGTTGGCTTATAATTTAGTCATGTTTGGTAAAAATTAGTTGATAAGCTAGATGATGGCTAATAAACTAGTCATGTTTGGTAAAAACTAATTGATAAGCTAGTTGTTGGATAATAAACTAGTCGTAAAAATCAGCTGATAAGATCAAAAAAGGGGCGCTATTGGAAAAAGGTGGAAAAATCTCCTAGAACTTATTGAAACGTTGCTTGAAGTAGTATTTCAAAAAGCTAGCTTATGGCTAATCAAATAAAATCATTTCGATAAGCTCAAAAAATAAGCTAGCTGTTGGCTTATAAGCTAGTCATTTTTAGTAGAATCTAATTGATAAGCCAGCTATTAGCCGATAAACTAGTCATGTTTAGTAAAAATCAGCTACGGAGCTCAAAAAATGGATTTAATTGAGAAAAAAGTGGAAAAATCTCCAACTTCTTATTGAAACACTGCATGAAGTAGCATTTCAAAAAGCTAGTTTATGGCCAACCAAACAAGGCTATTTCAATAAGCTCAAAAACTAAGCTAGCTTATGGTTGTCAAACATGTTCTGTCAGTATCCATGATTTGCAGTAGGATGACAAAAACAACCTTTTCTTCCTCATCTGCAGGTCACTCTTAGTGATGAGAGGAAACAGTGCCGATATGGCTAGAAACGTCATGTGTCAATCTCCAACTAAAAGAATCAACATCTCATTTTTTAGAGTCCGGATAGACTCCAACGACGAAAAGACCTCATCAGCGACAGCAACGGATGATGCCATGACAGTGTGGCAGCCAGGTGTTCCAACACCAAAAGGAACCACTCTTAACGGTTATGACTCGATGGATAAAGTCTCCAAATGGGGTGCACCACAACTGCTAATGTTAGCCCCGGTCCGGCCAATGGTCATGAGCCCGAGACGATTACCTCGTGGTGGCACCGGTGTTTTCTTTCCATGGAACGTTGGATCAAGAAAATCGGCAAAATATGTACCTCCTCGAGCCCAAAGAGGACGGATTCTCGCACTTCCTCCAGCACCGGCTGAACCACACAAAGTGGACCCCGCCTCTGGTTAGACCATAGCTTATTCAGGTCAAGTCTAGGAGTCGTTTACCAAACACTTATTGGGTAAGCACTTGCCAGGTAAGCATCCTTACTTACCTTATCGGGTAACATTACCGGCCATCATAATGGATTGTTGGTGGTAAGCGCTTATTGGGTAAGAGTCACCACTCTCATTACCATGTAAGACTCTCGATTCTTGCATCATCTCTTACTTGGTAAGATTCTCGGTCATTGCTATGCTAGCCCGGTAAGATAAGATAATGACTTGATAAAGTGCTTACCCGGTAAGTGTCCGGTAAATGGTCCCCGACTTGGTCTGCAAATAGGCCATGTTACATTTTGGTAAATGAGTTTAAGCAGGAAATTAACTAGGGTTAACATCGGTGAGTAGGGTGTCCTCTGGATATCAGTATCACTTGAGTGTTTTTGAAGTAATTAGTCAAGTGAAAGTTTAAAATTGTGAATTATTATATAATTATTAATATAAGTACTTAACTTCAAGATTAAAGGGGTTTTGTTTGATGAGTTTACAAGTAAAAAATGTAACTGCCTATGAACCAAGACTATCTTTGCTGCCCAACAGTATCCGAGTTACCCCTAGAACCCAATTTTTCTGGAGGTCAAGGTTCAAGACTTGCTAAGGGGCCGTTTGCGTATCGATAGAACCCAAAAGTTCCAACAGTATCCGAGTTATCAGTAGAACCCAATTTCAGATTTTCTATAAAGAAAAGTCAAATTAATTTCTCCATCTCGAGTTTACCCGCTTTTACATATTGTTACATTATCTTAGAGGAACAAAATGATCAGTAACAATGTAACAATGGTTGTTTCTCGTTCATTTGTATTCGTTCGTTTATATTTGTTTTAAGCTCATTTATGTTTTCTTTAAGTTTGTTAATTTAGGTTCCTTTAACATCTTAACGAACGAACGAACACATTTTTTGTTCTTTTACCACTTGCTTTTGTTCAGTTAAGTTAAACGAACATGAAGATGTCCGTGTCCGTGTCCGTTTACGGCCCTATATACAACTAGTGATACAACAAATGGATATCATTATCAACAATACCTGATTACTGTTCCAATTATAGTAACACAAATGACATAAAAGCACCTGCTTTCTAAAACGACAGGATCCCAGTATAAACCCAAACATAACAACAAATCTGGATTATAACCCACAACAAACAATGCAATTGCAAAACACCTTTGGTGAAATCAAATCTGCTTCATTACTTACCGGTTTTCCCAGGTTCATCGTCATCATCTTCTATATCCCAACTCAAATCTTCATCATCTTCAGCAACATTCAATTGTTTAAACAAATCACCACCATTCTTTAGGCTATCACCTTGAGAAACTCTCTTTTCATCATGTTCGCCAAGATCCTCGATCTCATCCCACTCGATATCTTCCTCCTCATGCGAAGAAGATCCCTGATTTTCCTTGGTTTTTGGAACCGATTCAACGGTCTCATTGGGCAAATCTCGACTACTCGGTTTTGAATCGTCTGCATTGTTCTTGTCAACAATGGCAGCATCAGTGTTCTTCTCCAGATCTTTGTCAACAACATTTTCGCTATGATCGAGATCTTCATTAGATTTTGGCATCGATTCTGCGGTGTTATTGTTAACAATGGCAGAATTGGGGTTCTTCTCCAGATCATCATCAGCAACATTAGAACTTACAGCTTCAGATTCATGAATAGGGTTCTGTTTCGTTTCGATTTGTGACGAATCCTTGATGTTTGAGGTGTTTGATTTCACTTGATTAGATTCTTTTTCTTCTTCATCTTCATCTTCATCTTCATCTTCATCATCAACATCCCAACTCAATTCTTCTTCATCATCAGCAGTTAAGGATCTCCTCACCAGATTAGCTCTCATGTCCTCTTGCTGTTTAAGCTTATGAACCCTGTAGAAATACCTGGACCAAAAGCTTCCATCATCAACCTCATTAGGAACAAGTTTTCTGTAAATTGCTTCTATGGATCCATTATCTCCAATGAGTTTCTCAATCTCGCTTTCCTTATCATCCAACAGAAACCCTAATTTCCAGTTACTATAATCATCTATGTCCTCAGGATCTACGCAATAAGTTCGAGCATCAGTTTGGATCGCATTCAATTGAGACTCGAAACGGCTGTACCCTCTCGAATTCAAACCACTACGATTCTGTGCTGATTCCGAAGCATCAGAATCATCAAAATCTGAAGGTTCGAGAAGAGCTTCCTTACCTTGTGAGATGATATCCGCTGTCGATTTCAACACTCCATCGATCGCTGAAGCTCCGACCTCGATCGAAGACGGTAACTCCTTCACTGCACGGCTCGCGACTTCACGGAACAAATCGGATTCTTTCCTCAAACCTGATCCGAATTCCTTCAGATCTCGACGGTATGTTTCGAGTACTGATTCCGATCTAGTCGTTATAGTCTTCACCAGATCTCCAAAGCTCCACAAACCGCCGCCACCGCCACCGCCACCGCCACCGCCAACGCCGACAACCTCTGCGGAAGAAGTCAAATTTAAATCCGTAAACTCCTCTTCAGCTCTTCCTATTTCTTGATGCTTTGGAGATTGATTTGGGCGACGATCGGTATCGGAATTTCCATGACCGTCCATATTTTCCGGCTCAGTATCGTCGGATAACATAGATTTGAAGAAATTCATCTATAATTCAACTGATTGAGAAAGATTGTTGTCAAAGTTTGGTAAAGAATGCGTGTGATTTCCTTTTTAGGGATCACGTTACGAAAGAAAGAAGATCATGAGAAGGGTTGGAAATGAGAGACAGTTACTGGATAACTACCGCCTTTGGAGTAGAGTGACAGTCTGATAGCTGTACCTTTATGCCATGAATTGGGCCTTCATCATTCAAAGCCCACATATTTAACCCATTTCCATATACACTTGAATAATTACAAACAAATCTCTCTCTCGAAGGGAATTGATGTGACTTGTGAGAGTGTTTGTGATACGGCTTGGTGTCGTTCGGGGTCAAATTGTAAAATGCATCGTATATGTGGTTTGAGAAAATCACATATATTTTTGGGGAGTTTATAAATCGTTTTACTTGTAATATTCAATACTATCACTTACTCTGGATAAGATTTTTACTTCATCAAAATAGTATTGTATGCAACAATTTACTTCGGAAGTTCTAACCATGGTAATAGTTGTCATCCTCACTTACCAAGTAAAATTTTCGGTCATTGTCTTCGCTCTTACCAGGTAAGATTCTTGGTTCTTGCCATATGCATTCGGTAAGGTAATGTGACTTAGTAAGCGCTTATTCAAGTAAATGTTTGGTAAACGGCTCTTTAAACTGCAAAAAACGTATCATACATTGTGGTGTTGTTCATGCGACAGATATATATATATATATAATTAATATGCAGTGCAGTGCATTTGAACCCAGTTTGCTAATTTAAAACTGTATCACATAATGCGGTTTGTAAAAAAAATGCAAACCGCACCGCATTTTGTGGTGCGGTGTGGGTGGTTTATGCTATTTGACAATTCAGATGAACACCCTTAGATATGACGGTCATTGAGAACGATCTCTTTATGTCTCTGTTAAGGAAATATACGTGTATATCTTATATTTCAGATCCTATATTTTGTCGGTGAGATATAATAGATTTATTTAATTAGATATAAGTAACAACAAAAAAATTTACAAGTTAAATATTTAGAAGAAATAAATAATATTTTATTAAATATATAAAATATTTTAATAATATTATTAACGTCATAGCCTAAAAAAATTGTTGGATTTAACGTAATTTTTATAAGTAATTTTAATGTTTTAAGTAATTTTGAATTTTAATTTATTATTTTAATTTTTTTTAATCTATAAGGGTGTGTTTTGTTTGCAGAAATGTTTCTGAGGGTTTTGGATTCCATGAGATTTGGATTGGATTGGATTTAAAATCCATTCCTGTGTTTGGTTTGCAGGATTTGGACATAATATGACCATAGTGTATACCATGAACTTCAACTATATATCTTGAAGAATCATAAAACTGCATATAGAAGTTGACTAGAAATAGCAAAATTCCTATGATCATGCATCTGAAGAATCAGTTTAAGCAAGCATATAGCAATGACGATGAAACCATCATATGTACAGAGCACACTTAAACAAAAACTATATACTTGAGAAAAGTTTTCAACAAACAAGGAGGACTACTCTGTTCATACCTATTCAGATTTAAGCATCTACAAACGGTGTTATATGATTTACCTGCTGAGAGTGATACGAGAAGGCGGCGAACAGGAAAGGCGTTTTGGCTCGAGGGGTTTTGGCTCAAGGCGGTTCAGGGGGCAGCTTCGTGAGGGGAAAAGGAAGGGAGCACCGGCGAGACGACCTTAGGGCACAGCTTCACAAGGGACGGGAAGGGAGCACCGACGAGACGACTTTAGGGCACAGCTTCGCAAGGGACGGGAAGGGAGCACCGGCGATGGAAGGGAAGCGATGGGAGGGAATATGGGTGAAGGAAGCGGGATGAAGGAAGGGAGACGCAATAATCGACAGGAAGTGATGGGAAGGAAATGATTGGATTTGAAATCCCGCCCCTTTGCAAAGGATTTCCAAATCCCGCATACACTGGATTTTAATCAAATCCCTGGATTCCAAATCCCTTCAATTTGGCAAACCAAAAATAGGATTGGAATGAATTTAAAATCCAAATCCCCCCAAATCCATTTCATTCCTGCAAACCAAACGCACCCTAAGAGATGGTTTAAGAAAGATGACACAGTAGCACAAGGACAAAATGGTAAATTGCACCATTTATGTGATTGCTAGAAAAATAATTTCAAAAAAAGGAAAAAGGTATTCATCAAGAATTCGGATCCGGGTGCGGGTCGTAACCAAATAGCGTTTAAACATTTGGGCCTATTCAAACATTAGGGTTTTCTGCAACCGGAAAAAACAAGGTTTAGGGTTTATGCATCTCTTCTCTTCATACAGATCGAAGAAAAATTACAGAGATGAGAGGTATGGAGATGTCATTGAATCAAACGCAAAAATTGAGGCTGCAAAGAGCACTTGAACTTTTGGAAACTCTCTCATCGGGAATTAATTCTAATTCTTCTGTCACCGTTGCCGATACCATTCCCGTTAACCAAGAAGATGGCGTCCTCAAGTAATCCTAAACCCTAATTATCTTGAAATATTTTTTTTTCTTTCTGTTTTTTGATTTCTGACTTCGAGTAATGATGTAGAAAGTTATTAGCAAGGAGAACCAATTTTGTAATGAAAAACCCTATCCATTTTCATTCGTAATCATTGTAATATAATTCAAGTTTTGGAACAGGAACGTTTAACTTTTGAACTGATTTGGCTACAATTATAGTTACAGAATTGGGTAATTGTGTTTCTCTTTCCAATTTCTAATACTGTTGTGATCTTTTAGAGGCCATGGGACGACAGAGCTTGAGGGTGAAGTTGTGGCAACTGTGTGTGGAGTAATCGAGCGTGTAAATAAACTGGTTTATGTTCGCACTTTAAGAGCCAGGTCATCGGTCATTTCTTTATCTGAATGTGTGTTTCCTTATATCACTCTAAAGTGATCTTGATAGAGTTGAAGCTAAATGCTGGATCTGAAAATGATGTAGGTATAAGCCTGAGGTTGGTGATATCATAGTAGGCCGCGTTATTGAGGCAAGTGACAACTGGATTTCCTACTTCTCTTGACTTTTATGATATAGCTATACCAATATCTTAATCTGGCTGTATATGACCTTCTTCTCAACTGGAAAAAAGGAAATTGTTTAGCAGTTATCTTTTAACATTTAGTGAGCTTAGAAAGGGTCGTTGGTAACCCGGTTACGGGTAGAGCCCAGCCTTTCAAACCTCACCGAAGGTGAGGAATGTTTGTGAATATATGTTGTATGTAAATATTATATACTTAAAAAAAGTTTTACACAAGCAAGGACTAGGAGTGTGGTAATCATTTTTTTGCTAATTTGATCAGTGACTAGTTGATAGCTAAGATCAATTATGGTAAAGGGAGTTTTTTTTCTTGATATATGTGAAGGTTGCTCCAAAGCGGTGGAGGTTGGAGATTAATTTTAGCCAAGATGCAGTGTTGATGCTTTCTTCAATGAATTTGCCTGATGGCATCCAGGTATATCTATCACCATGGCGTATCAATAAATGACTCGTATACAATGGATTTTCATCAATAATATAATTCTGAGCTGGATGGTTGGCTGGAGTCACATTTAAAACACTAGCCGTGTCGCCAACTTTTAGCTTCCAATCGCTTGCATCAATATCTTTGATTCATGTATGCTATTCTACAGGCTATTCTAAAGAACAAAATTCTCAACATGTATTGTAGTCAACATAAAGTTCTAATCTATACGAATGACACAAAAGTGACCTTGAACATGCTGAGAAGCATAATTACCATCTCATGGATATTACATGTCACTGTTAATAATTGAACAAACAGTTGTACAACTGAGTAGATAGTCAACACATTGTTGGAAAGTGAGAGCAGGGATGAGATTCTGACCACATGTGAAGGTTAAATTTTGTACTTTTATGATGCCCTAGAATTTGTGCTGGGCTGGCATATATCTAGCATGGGATCTAGTTGGCACATTATTTTTAATGCCACCATACTTTGCCTTACTCAAAGCAGATGTATATATATATATATATGTATATCTATTTATATATATTATACCACACATTTCTAGGGATCTACAACTTATCAATAAATCTTTTGGTCTTGAAGTTGAAAATATTTCCATTACTAATAAAGAACACAACTCCCTGTCCCCCTAAAAAATGCAATGCATGACTTGGCATGTAATTTTATAATTTTATTTGACTAGTAATAAAATACCTAAAATACCAACAAGATGAAATTTCAGAAACGTATGGGCCACAATCAACGCCATAAATATCTTATAATGATTGATGATGGGCAGATAGGTAAATTTGGATTGTTTTTTTTTTCAATAAAAGAGGCATTGCATGTGTTTGAGGACAACCCTAAATAGAAAATAGTCCATTTTTTTGGGATGGAGGGAGTATCGAACTTCAGTTGTAAAAATCTGTTTAACTAAGAAGAATTGTACATGGATTCTTTGAATAACTTCTGTAATGTTATTGTTCCAAATACTTCTTGAACAATGAAATAACTTCTGTAACGGAAAAAGTCAGTATATATGAAACGTTAAATTGCAACCATTTGAATGCAGAGTGTCGACCTTGAATGAGCGAGCAGTTGGGCATGTTCGCCTTTAGTGCATTCTGCATTTTTATTTATTCGTCTATCGTATTATCAGTAAGGTGTATGTTATTGGCTTAACTCTTCACAAGGAGTATATATTAACTCTGATTCAATTGTTATCTCTAAACTTGTCTGGATTGGTGTGATTTCTCCATCTCATTTATTCTTAAATTGCTAGAGGCGGCGAACTGCAGTGGATGAGCTCAATATGCGTAGCATTTTTGAAGATGATGATGTCATCTGTGTAAGTTCATAACCTCTGCGCTGAAACTAGTCTAGTATCCCTTTGGATGGTTTGTTGTGCAAATTAAAGTTGACATCAGATTCTATATTGTTCTTCGTTATAACAAGTCATTATTTGGCAAATAGCATCTAAAATGCGTGCGTAATTTATTCTAGGACCGTTCTTAACCTTGCATTTTCATTCTCTTACATGTGGCTTACTTAAGATTTAGGGTGGGGGTGGCATAAGTTAAGTTTACATGCGGACACCAATGTTAGAAAATATTTATACTACATAAATCATGTGCTCCATTTTGTTCTTCTAGGCTGAAGTCCGTGATTTCATGCGTGATGGGAGTCTGCAACTGCAAGCAAGGAGTCAGAAGTATGGAAAGGTTTGGCTTGCCTTACTCTAACCTATGTGGTCATGTTATGCTTATGTGGTCTTTTCTTATCGCTTGCATATACAGACTTGCATATTGTTGTAAATGTAAATCAAGGGTGCATTTGGTACGTTAGAGGATGGGACATGACAAGACAAAAAACTTCTTGTCCCACTTTGGAGCGATTAGAATGGGACAGGACAGGACAGGACCGAGTGGGACAAAAATACATTTTTGTTGTCCCAGCAAAATAGGTGGAACAAAAAATCAGGGAAAGACGACTAGTTTGGCAAATTACTAAACTAGCCGTATCAAATTATAACCCTAAAACCTTCGCATAATTCTTTGCCCACCGACCTCACTTTCACCCGTCCGGTCCTGCCACGTCTAAGTCATGTCCAGTCCCATTTATGTACCAAACGCACCCCAAGAGAACAAACGCAAGTGCTCATTTGCAAGCTCACACCACCCACAGTGTACCGAAGTAGATGATGTTCAATTCATGTTCTACACCCAGCCTGTTATAAGTAATCCACTCCCCCTCTACACCCCACCCCATGGGAATTCGGCCACTAGATTGCAATGCAACACATTTATAAAAAAATGAAAAATAAGACTCGCAGATGAGTAAAAACACGAGAAAAAAAACCACTTTCATTGGTTAAGTCTCACAATGCTGATGTCAACTTGAAAAACCTGTTATTTGCAAACCGCAATGAGCATTTAACTTTCACGGCTGTTAGCAATCTTTTGTAACGAGTTCTTGTGCTACAAGCACGGAAATGTTCTCATATTTAGTGTCAGTCATTATATTGTTTACCTAGAGCCGTTGTTTATTTGTTTGGGGTGCGTTTGGCACACTGTACGATATAGGAAGATGTGACAATTAGACCGGGACTGGACAAGACTGAGTGGGAAAAAAAATACCTTTTTGTCCCACCAAAATAGGTGGAACAAAAATCAGGAAGATGTGACAGGTTTGGTGAATTACTAAATTACTCATGTCAAATTACAATCCTAAAATGGTAAAACCTCCCACAATTCATTCACTTGATACCCCCCTCTTGTTCGTCAAAGCTCGTCCAGTCTCGTGTGCGTACCAAACACACCCTTTTAAGATTGTTTACTTTATAATTATAAATTTTAAATCTTTTATGATCTTTGTTGAAAGACTATTTTGTACGCAATAGTAAATATGCTTGTTTTTCTATTTCTTTATTTTCTTCTATGATCTAGCATTACTTTGATGGAATCTTTGTGAGGGATTTGGATTTGGGAGGATTTTGGATCGGAAGGATTTGGAATCTTTGGTGTGTTTGGTTTGTAGGATTTGGAATGTTCAGGGTCCGTTTGGTTTACATGATTGTTTTCAAGAGATTTGGATTTCATGGAGGGATTTGGATTTGGAGGGATTTGAAATCATTGTTGTGTAGGATTTGGAATGGAATTGGACTTCATTATTTATAGAAAAAATTATAAATAATTGAATTATATTTTTATTTATTGATTATTGCAAAACAAATATTTTTAACATTTTTTAAAACTTTATTGCATACAATTCTACGAAATCCTAAGAAATCCCGAGCACTCCCTAAGGATTTCAAAATCCTATATTTGAAGGATATCAATTAAATCATAGGATTTCAAATCCGGACAATCCAACAAACCAAACATGGGATTGGAATGGATTTGAAATACAATGGATTTGATTGTATTCCATTCTTTGTAAATAATTAATAGAAATTTATAAAAATAATTAAATTACTTTTTTATTAATTGATTATTACAAAACATATGTTTTGAACATATTTTAAAATATTATTACAAACAAATTCTATGAAATCCTACAAAATACCAAGTACCCCTATGGGATTTCCAAATCCCACTGTTTGTGAGATTTCAATTAAATCCCGGGATTTCAAATTCAAATATTCCTTCAAACCAAATATAGGATTGAAATGAAATTCAATTCCAAATCTCTCCAAATTCGGGAAACCAAACGGGACTCAAGTTTTGGCAGGGGGGGTCTTCTCGGAAACAACCTTGTCTCGTGAGACAGATGTAAGGTCTGCCTACATCTTTCCCCACCAAACCCTACCTTCGGGTGCGATGTACTATGTTTGTTTGCGTGGTTTAATTTGTGATCCCAAGCTCTGTATGGGATATACAGGTTCGTTTGGTTCAGTTTTATTAATGATACTAAATTCTTTTACGCAGCTAGAAAGGGGTCAAATGCTCACAATATCTCCGTATCTAATAAAGAGGCGCAAACAACATTTCCACCACCTAGATCAATACGGAATCGACTTAATCCTTGGCTGTAACGGATTCATCTGGGTCGGCGAGCACGTTGAAACCAAAGATAACATGATAGAAGAAGAACCCATTAAACCTGACCCACAAAACAACAAATCCAAAACCTCAATGAGCCTTGAAGAAGAAGAACAAACTTACACCCCACTCGAAACCCGACAAAACATATGCAGGATTGCAAATGCTATTCGGGTTTTGTCTACATTGGGATTTAGTATTACCATAGATGTGATTCTGGATGTTGTTGATCTGAGTATATCTAAGGGTCTCGACATCCATGAGATGCTTGGTGCCGAATTTTCTGTTTTGGTTGCTGAACGGGAAGCTGAACGAAGAAACTCGTCGACCCGAAGGAAACGGTGAATTCGAGTTTTGGTTGGATCAGAGATGTATTTGTAGTTGGCCAGAAAAGTAAAAATAGTTTGTAGTCATGATAGAAAGGGATTTTGTATTAGAAGTGAGGGATTTGTTGTGTTATAACTTCAATTTTAATTGGTTTCATGGTTTGGTTTAGTAATTTTGTTTTCTTGTGCTTAATGCATAAAATAGCAATTACTTCCATATATATTTTTTTATCGTAGTATTGTATTTTTTATTTATTTTTAGATACAGAAGTTTAAGAAGGTACCTGGACCCTTGATTACATTTAATTTTAAACTCATTCATGAATCGCTCTTGTTATGGGGATTGATCCGGTGCATCTCATTATAATGTGTATTCAAGGGTGAAGGTCTTTTTTATGTTTCTTATCTTAACTTTCTTTCTAACCAAAACCCTACCCTGTAGCAAAATAGGTAAATTTTCCAAAGTAATTCTAATTAAAAGTACATTATTGTAATAAGACTAAAATTAATGTACAAAGTTATTGTAATTCTTTTATGATAGTACAATTTTTTTTGGTTATCTTTTTGCTTTTTTTTGAGATGGTAACCATCATTCGATTCCAAGTTATGTGCGGTTTGTCTTGTTTATGATACCAAAAGAAATCAAAACTGTTTTGTCGGCTTGGTACTTGGACTCAACTAGTGATGCAGATTGCTCGAACTTTTTTAGGCATAGGTCTTTCAAACGTATTTTCTATAAGCAAAAACGAGTCTGGCTCGGGTTTTTGGGTGTGAAAATAGGACTTATTAGGTTTTTAAAGCCAATTTTGCAAGCTCTTGGAAAACAACATTTCATGATCGAGCTTTTAGGGCTGGTATGACTCAAGCTTTTTAGTCGAGGCTTTTTGTGCATTTCTAGATGGGATAGGGGCTAAAATAGAATACAACCATAGAATAGGGGCTAAAATGGCATACAACCATAGAATAGGGGNATACAACCATAGAATAGGGGCTAAAATGGCATACAACCATAGAATAGGGGTTAAAATAGAATACAACCATAGAATAGGGGCTAAAATAGAATACAACCATAGAATAGGGGCTAAAATAGAATACAACCATAGAATAGGGGCTAAATCCACAATTAAGTTGCATTATAATATGGTGGAAATATCCGGTATCCAACAGACCAACACACTTGAAGTATCGCAAATCCAACCAGCAGCGCTCCTCCGCTCACCGGCGGTTTCTTCCTGTCTAACCGGTAAGTCCTTCTCATGATTCCTCCGTCTGTTTTCATTTTGTAGCTCAATTTCTAAACTTATTCATGTATGAACAAAATAATCGTAGATTTCTGTATGTTCAATGCGCAGTTCGACTTTCTCATCCTGTTGTCAGTGATTATCCCTAGGGTTTTGTTTCCCCGTTTATATTGATGCCTAATATCTCTGTTTACTAGCAATTTGGAACTGAAATAGAAAAGAATGAAAAGCATAACTGTAACGTACTTGCAGGTATTATCATAATTGGTGTCGTAAATTGTTACAGTTCGATGTTTATTGTACACAATGGACCTTGAATTGATCTTTTTGTTGTTTGTATATTGGTTCCAAGCCAGCCAGATGCTTTTGATGTACTCGTTTGAAGCCCAACGCTTCTAATTTTTGCAATTTTTAGGGTGCAGATTGATTCGGATGTGCAAGGTTCAGCAAACATGAAGATTATAGGCTATAATTGTATTCCAAAATCAAGTATATTGCTCGTGAATCATGATCTATCCGCCCTTATGTTTTGCAAAACCCTAACAGCTACTGCATCAACCTTAGTGGTTTCAAGTAATTACCAGAAGAGGATTAATTTAGTCGGGAATTTGCAATGTTCTGTTGCCAGTAGACCATATGCATCTAATTCAGTAGGTTCGTCAACTTCCAAGTCGGAATCTGTTCGTAGGAGTAGAAAACAAGGAGGATCCTCATCATTATATGGTCGTGCTAGTTTACTAGAAATGAAGAATGAGAGGATTGCAACTCGAGCCCGTGTTTATGATTTTTTGAGAGGTATTGGTATTGAACCAGATGAGCTTGATGGTTTGGAGCTTCCTGTGACAGTTGATGTTATGAAGGAGCGTGTGGATTTTCTTCACACCCTAGGGTTAACAATTGAAGACATAAATAATTATCCTCTTGTTCTTGGCTGTAGTGTCAAGAAAAACATGATCCCTGTCCTTGATTATCTGGGTAAATTGGGTGTTAGGAGATCCACTTTGACTGAGTTTTTGAGACGATACCCTCAAGTTCTTCATGCCAGTGTTGTTGTGGACCTTGCACCTGTTGTTAAACATCTCGAAGGCATGGATATCAAACCAAACAACATTCCTCGAGTTCTTGAGAAGTATCCGGAGGTATTGGGATACAAGCTTGAGGGGACAATGAGCACATCTGTGGCTTATTTGGTTGGAATTGGAGTGGCAAGAAGAGAAATTGGTGGGATTTTAACTAGATATCCAGAAATTCTGGGAATGAGAGTGGGGAAAGTGATCAAACCTTTCGTTGAATATCTGGAAAGTTTGGGAATACCGATGCTAGCTGTGGCCAGATTGATAGAAGAACGACCTCACATTCTTGGGTTTGGATTGGAAGAGAAAGTTAAACCAAATGTCAAGTTTTTAACAGAATTTGGTGTCAGAATGACATCTATTTCATCTGTAATTGCACAATATCCTGAAATTATAGGACTGGACCTTGGAGCAAGGCTACTTAAACAGCAAAGCTTCCTCAACTCCGTAGTTGATTTCAGCCCGGAAGATTTTGGGAAAGTTGTAGAAAAAATGCCACAGATTGTAAGTCTGAGCAACACACCGGTCGTGAAGCATGTGGACTTTCTGAAAAGTTGTGGCTTCTCTTTAGATCAAGTGAGAAAGATGGTTGTTGGGTGTCCACAATTGCTTGCTTTGAATATGGATATAATGAAACTCAACTTCGATTATTTCCAAAGCAAGATGGGAAGGGAGTTGGATGAGTTAGTTGATTTCCCAGCGTTCTTTACTTATGGTTTGGAGTCAACCATAAGACCAAGGCATCGGATGGTTGCAAAGAAGGGACTTAAATGCTCTCTTGCATGGCTTCTTAACTGTTCTGATGCGAAATTTGAGCAAAGGATGAATTATGACACGATAGACATGGAGGAAATGGAAGATGATTCATCATTCGACATGAATACTCTGATGGAACCCAGAAATGAAGAATCGGATTCTGATTACGATGAGGACAGTGATGAAGAGTACTTGTAGTACCGATCATGCCAGCACAAGGCGGAGTTTTGTTGTAAAATGGAGCCTTCACAAGCAAACTACAATGAGGTTAGCTAATATATTCTACCCTAAATTAATCAACTTTTATCTCTCATGTATTAGTTTTTTCATAATTTGATGACAGAAAGAATGATTAGTTAGCAATTAGCAACCAAACATGCAAACCAATGTCGAAAACAGGTTGAAGAAGTTAAGATTGCATTGATGTTTCTGTGTATATTTTCTTGGCTCCCAGTTTCATGCATGCATACTATTACTTGGTAGAACTTTTTTTGCCCGAGTATTTGCATCTTTCAACATCAATGGAAGGAAGGACGCCCTTAGGCAAAGGATGAGAACCATATGTGTAAAATACTAGAGATGGGCATAAATACCAGACCTTTCGGTCTAGATTGGACTGGTCCCTGACCAGACCATGACGTCATCAGGCTGAACCAAACCAGACCACCGGTCCTACCGGTACAAGGGTTTTTATGAAAATTAGAAAATCAAACCAAATGGACTAGACGAAGACCGTAGCAAACCACATTTTCAGTACTGGTCCTGTGGTCCATGCATATCTATAGAACTAGACTCTAAATTCAGAGAAGAGACTTCTACTGCTAGTGAAAGTTTGAAGCAATGGTTATCTACATTCAGATGGTGAACAGGGTTCCCTAATGGGACAAGGCAAATCACCATGCCTAGCAGGCGAGGAGGTGGGCATCCTTGCAGAATAAGTAAGACCTAGAGTTCGACTCCAAGCACCACCCACCCCTGGGACTAGCAATTTACTTCCTCATGATGGCCGTGGCGTCATATCCCAGAGAGAAGAAACCTTTTTTAGCACTCTGAAAAAGTAGAGTTACTGTTCTTTCTCCCCCATTCGACCATTTAATTATTCAATGATTGATGTTAGATTCTGCTTCTTCAGTCTATATGCAGAAAACGAATACTGAGGGAATTTTATTTTATTCGCCTCGCTTGCTAGAATAAGCACAATGGAGATAAAGTTTGGTTGAGAGAGACAAAATGTACTAGCGGTATGGAGTTAAAAGCCTTTACTAGTTGTTTACCTTCTATTTCTACGTCTTAGGGTCTGTTTACCTACTGGTTTGCCGGTATTAATTCCGTCAGGACTGCTTACTCAATTGGCATCAGCTAGTTTACCTAAAACGACTGATCTGACCGATGGCATTGAACAAGAACGTACCTGGCCAACCTTATTATTTCACTTGCCGGGTCAGCACAAGATGATAAAATGTATTTTATTGGTAAGCACTTATGACAAAATAAACAAACATTTTCAACCGGTGCTTACCCAAACCGAACCTCTTACCCGTACCACATTCTTTACCTGTTAGCACCTACCTAATTTGTGTTGGTAAACGGCCCTTTAGTCCGGAATATTGTCTATTACTAAAGACCCTCTTTAGGAGTCGGTAAGGGACCAAATGAATTCCCGTTTGTTATAGGTGACTTGAGTATTTTTATTTTGGGTAACCATGATTGTTTTGGACAACTCGAACGCATCTTGACTGATCCCATGAGAGACCCTGGAGAAGAAAATCCTCAACGGCCTTGAGAATACTTGAACCAGTGATCTATGGGAGGAAGAGCCTCAAAGCCTCACCTTTATTTGGCGATCAATAGTTTGTTGCTCCAACCATGCTCCAAATATTGGGCTTTAGGTTTTTTTACTTCAAGTCTCAAACATTCGATCCACATCGTATTGGTATCCTGTCTTAACGATCAGGTTCTAGAAAACGTCATTTTCTAGTGAATTAGCTTGGACAAGAGCATGATTAATTTGAGAGTAAGGGGAGTCACTATCTTACTGCATTAATATGACAAGGATTAAGAATCTTACCCGGTAAGAGGTAAGGCAAAAAACCAGAGTCTTACCTTATAAGTGAGGGTAACAACTCTTACCAGTAAGCGCTTACAGGGTAAAGTTGTTGCGGCCATTTTGATAGCCAAAAATCTAACCAATAAGCATTTTGGTAAACGGCCCCTAAAACTAAGGATGCATGACAACTTCAAACTTGTAATATGGCCATTTGATTTATCGAGATTAATGGTCTCCAAAGTTACCTTTTACTCCTCTTGATGTGGCCTGAACTAGGTATGGCAACGGGGCGGGGATGGGGAGAGTTTTGTAATCCCCGACCTCGGTTTGTAGTAACATTCTTTGGCCCCGGTCCCCGGCGGGTACGGGGATTAACATCCCGTCTCCGGTCAAACCTTTATCAATCTCCGGTCAAACCCCATTAAGAATATCCATTAATTTGAGTCTACCGTGGATCCCAGGACCCGGGGACCTGTTTTAGCGGGGAATCCCCATCCCCGTCGGGTTGGGTGAACCGGGTTCCCCATTGGGTCGGGGCAAATCACTATCCCTAGCCTGAACCTTATAAAAAGATGTACACCACCCTTTCGAACACCTCACTGCACCGGTCCCACGACTGTCATGAAAAGGTAAATCACTGTTAGTTAACAGTTAATGGTGGTTCCATGGTTGTGGATTCCACCATTCTTTGGGAAAAGAAAAGAGACGATGAATTCCGAGCTCGCAAACAAGTGGTTACATTAAAAGCCATTTGATTCCATTCCATATCTAAATTTTAGCAGGTTCTTTGGTTCGCAGAATGAATTGATCAGATTCCATCGAATTCCATGGTCGAGGGATTTGACCATTCCTTGGTATATGCGAAGGATTTGAGTTACATTTTGATGATAGATATAACAAAGTATATGATTTAGTGCTAGAAAGACTAAAATGGCCTCTACATCTAATTTAACCGACACCATCACCACCACTCTCACTACCGTCAATTAAGATCATCGTTCCATCACACAATGCCATTATTATTCACCACATCCACTTAACCCCCCACCTTAATTTTACTAAAATAGTTTAATTAGCTCTCGAGGTATTATAAAATGAGATCCCACCCCACACTCCCTGTCTCTATACCATCACACCACTAGCGTCATCATCACAGCCACCAGCCTCACTCCTGACATATGCAAATTCCTTCCAATCAACCAAACGTTTAGTCAAGTTTCAATTCTTCTAAGTCAAATTTTTTGAATAGATTCCAATTCCACCAAGTTTCGTTCCGTGAACCAAAATCTGCCAAGAGTCCATTTGTATTGTGGATCACAAAAGGTATAAATTTCATCGCTAATTTTAAACACATTGTGAACATACATACAAAAATAGGATATACATTTTCCTACCTATTGTAAACAGACCTTTTGTACTTGGATAAACTATAAAAATTCCAAAACCCCAATTAGTTTTTCTGCATAAAGATCTTCGCAGCATGACCTAATCAGTTTTCTGTAGCCATCCAAGCTGCACAAAACATCAAAACAATTTCATTCTTTATAGATAATTTATAAAATAAATTATAAAAATAATTAAATTGCATTTTTTTCACCGATAATTACAAAACGAATGTTTTCAACATATTTTAAAACATTATTACAAATAAATCCCTTTAAACCAAACGTAGTATTGAAATGTAATTCCATTTCAAATCGAGCAGACCAAACAGGCCTTTAGATAAATCATTTAAACTTCAAGATTACAACATTTATCGACGTTCAAGTACAAATCATTAACGTATTAAGAGATATGGTTCGTTAAAATATTTTGGCCGAAAACATGTCTCACGTATAAGCAGAGTAAGTTTGATGCCTATAAAAGGAGCACAAGATTTCGGTTTCAAAATGCCCCAATCAAATGCACTTAAATGGAGTACAGAAAGATGAGTTAAATCTTAGTTTTACACGCACAAAAAACCTGAAGCCCAGACCTAGCAAGTTCAAAGCCCAGGCCCAAGTCATGCCTAAAAGCCGGAGCGGGCCAAGTTTTTTTCAAATGCCCTGGTCTAACAAATCCAGAAAAAGCTGGACCTGTCTTGTTTTTGGGCCCGGAAAACGGACACAAGGCCTGAACCTCATGCATATCTAGTTTTACATCCCACTTTATAGCACGGTGAAGAGATGCACAAGGCCGGGCCAAATCTTTTTTCAGCAAGCACAAAAAAAGGCCCAAGCTTCCCCAAAATTCCGGCCTGATCAGGCTTTGAGCTCACTAAGCCTAGGATTTTTCGAGCCGGGATTGGGTCGGACCTGAACCGAGCTTGGGGTTTTTTGTGCATCTCTAAGCACGGGTACCCAACTAGTACAAGTTCTTTTTTTTTTATATAGACAACTAATACAAGTTAATGAAGAGAAGCAAGGCCGATGAAGTGCAAGAAATACTACCTTCCATGCATACATAGCGAAAAAAGCCATAGTATCTGCAGACCAGACGAGCGCGAAAGATTTCAAGAAAAACGGGATTGTGACATTCAGCAACGGAACAAGGAGAAACAGATAATTGAGAGCTTCCTTTTCATTCTTTGAGCAGTCTCGTGCACGAAGGGAAGGAATAGCTGTAAAACCGTAAAAGCTTTTTTAACATGACGTTCCTATTAAACTATAACCTTATAATCGTTAGGGTTGCTCAACTCGATGTCACCAATTCAAATCTCCTCGGGCCAAGGACCTTGAGGGGGTTTGCATACTATTAGCTTCAAGACATCAGGGGATTAGTCGAAGCCCTACAAACTGGTCTAGACACTCACAGTTAGAGATGCACAAGATCCGGACATTTGGGCCCAGGGTTTGCATGACCGTTGTAACACCCTACTTTTATATTAAGTTAAACATTTATGTTTTAAGCCTTAAATACAAGGGTTATAATTATGCAAAATACTCCAGCAGCTGAAGCATCCTTAGATTCCATACTTATCAATTATAAGTAGCTTACAAGGCAAAGCATGAAAAATCAAACCTAAAGTGATGAATTGTAGTAAGGGCTAGAAGTATGACTAAGTAAGTCTACTAAGCATAACAAAGCAAGCTAGTTATGAATTGGTAAAATTCATGATGACAATCAAAAGTTAGAAGCATGACAAATAAAAGCTAGAAGAATGACAAATAAAAGCTAGAAGAATGACGTGTCAAGATTCTTTTATATTAAGCATGAGGTGTCAAGATTCTCTTCTCCTCAAGTCGGTGTTAAACTCTCATAAGAGTACATGTTTGAGAGCAAAAAGAACAAGTAACTAATGCAATGAATTTATCTTAAATAAGGATTGAAGTGTTATTATTAGCTCCATACCAAAAATAAAAAATCTCTCTTTTCATACATAATCAAGCTTGAAGAAAGGAATCAAGGGATTAGTCGAGGCCCCACAAGCTTTTTGAAGCACGGGCCAGGCTTTGGGGTTGAAAAAGGCCCGATTCGACTTTTTTAGGCCAGGGTTTTTTCGGGCTTAACTGGGCTTCTCCAGGCCAGGGGATTAGTCGAGACCCCCATGAGCTAGTCTAGACACCCACAGTTAGAGATATACAAGGTCTGGGCTTTTTTGGGCCTGGGCCCGAGCCTTCCAAGCCAGTTTTCAGTGAGCAATAAAAAGGTTCTGGGTTTTTTAAGTCCCTTTGGGGTTGAAAAAGGGTCGGATGAGATCTTTTCAAACCAAAAATTTTCCAGGCTCTTCCAGACCAGGCTTCGGCTTTTTTGTGCATCTTTATCCATGGTTACCAAAAAAAACAGTAAAAACTTGTGTGCATATAGAAAGAAAGATTTTGGTGAAGATATATGATGAGATCAGAGTGGTAGTACTTACTGAACATCCAGATTGACCACATCCCCATTAATCTCCATATATCAGGTTCATTTGAAGGGAATATGAGGTTAAAAGAGAGAGCTCCACCCACCAACATTGATGCATAGGCTTGAACCTCAAAAACCGTGTATAACGTTGTTCCCGGTACCGCTGGGTTCTTTGAAGCCGTCGACGCCCTCGGTGCAAACGTTGCAGCGGTTTTCTGAACGACCTGTTAGAGGGGGAGAAAACCTGAATATAAGACGCGGATCGTCATTGCATATGTGATTTATGCAAGAATCGTATGTGCACGGAGCAGACAACACTTTTGTGCAAGTGTCATTACATGATCTTAACACCTGACCATAAGCACAGTTGGTTCCGGGTGGTATACTTGCACAAACGCCTAACATAGTGTTTCCTATGGGGTCCTAAGGGTGCTTTTGGTGGTACATTAGACAAAAAGGACAACACAGAACAAAAACCTGTCTGATGTGAACTTTGACTTAAATTGAAATTCAATACCAACTAAAAAGTGAATTTGGATATTACAACTATTCTAGTCAATTTCCTCTCCAAAATATCTACCACTTTAGCTTAGTTGTAGATGCTTTAATGTTTTCTTTTTAGGATTTCTGCAACCGAACTACCGAAGAGTTTCTTTGACTGCTGATTACGATCGCTATAATTGTTAATCTGTTAATCAACTCCTAATTTATAACTGCTCATCTAAGATTTGAAGCAAATTGTAAGCTTAGTGAGGATTTGTGTTACCTTTTTTAGGTCTTTCTCGATTGCTCCACTGCTCGTTGTTGCTCCGACTGAACTCTTGTTCGTCACTCCAATCGATTCCTGGTACTCTTCTTTGCCTTCATCCTCCACCGTTTTCGTACCTAATTCGTTTGAAGATGCATGGATATTGAAGCAGGTTTTGCCGCGAAATCGAGGACTTAATCTAGGGATTGTAGGATTGATGGAGAAGAAATTGGACAACGGCGGTTTGTAGACAGACGTCTGCAATAAAGTATTCATGTTCTTCAATGGAGAAGGAGGAGGGGGAGATAAGGAAGGGGAGGAGGAGGATGTCTATAATTTCGAAACGGTTTCGTCGGTGAAACGACGTCGGATTTGTTTTTACAAGGGTAAATTACACTTTTGGTCCCTTTGGTTGCTACAAAGTATTAAATCTTGTCACTGTTTTGAGATAATTACATTTTTAGCCATTGTAATTGCTACTTTTTACATTTTGGTCCTTTTCACTGATGCTATTTTGAAATTGTTACACTTTTAGCAATTGTGATTGTCATTTTGTTATACTTTTAGTCCTTTTGGTTGGTATTCACCGTTAAATCTTGTCATTGTTTTGAAATAATTACACTTTTAACCATTGTAATTGCCACTTTGTTATACTTTTGGTCCTTTTCGTTGCTACCCACTTTTAAATCTTGTCACTATAGTAATTCTGGTTATACTTTGTTACACTTTTGGTCCACTTAACTAACTTTTTGTTAATAGTTTGTTCATTCAGGGGTGTTTTAGTCTTTTTATCATTTTCTCTTAATTGTGTCTATGTCAAAGCAAACACATAGACATAAACATGCTTAATTGTATCTCGACCATCGTCCTTGTGTGACAGAACGTGAGCTTTTCACATGCAAAACCCCGTTGATGTTCTAACCGAGTTCCTAAATTGACGAGGGAGGAAAAGGAGAAGCAACTGCAAAGGGAATCAAGCAAAGGGTCAACATGGGAACATAAAATCAAAGCTAAACCAGTCTAGACGAACATGAAAGTCAGGTTAATCAACGAACATCAACTTCGAAGTTAGGATAACCTACTGGGATGGGGGTGCATTAATGGCATAAGATTTGGTAAAAGAACAATCTGTATTTACATTAACCGGCTTTTTTTCTTCACAAAAGCTAGTCAAAGGGATAAAAAGTGTAACAAAATGATGACGACGGTGACTAATAGTGTAACAAAGGCGCAACCACCATAATCAAAAGTGTAATTGTTTCAAAACAAAGATAGACTTAGATGATGTTTGTTTTTTAAGAGGTGCTGAAGTCTTATCTCACTTTTGATTACTCAGAGGTGGTGCTAAAGTCTGAAATCTGAATTAATAAGATTGTTTGTTTTTGTAAACTGACTATTGTCTGAATTTGTTTAAATTGTCTATTTTACCGATTAGAAAACCATAATGTTGAATGTATAAGTAAATTTATACAATTTCACATATTTATTCCTCATCATTACAAAATTTATATTTAAATTATATAATTAACATTCACTTAAATGAAAATATGTCATTAACGGTGTTTAACATATTTAAATCTCATTAAAATACTCCAATTGAGATATGTGAGGATCAATTTGGTAATGATCGATTGAGAAACGTTGTTGCTAAAGGTTTCAAGAACAATAAGAGGTTGGTTTACCTCTTACCAGATAAGAGGACAATAAAATATAACTGCCTCTGGAAAACTGGAAAAAACAAATTGTCTAACCCTACCTCTTAAGGAATCAGACATAAAAAACTAATAAAAGTTTAAAAAAAAAAACAAACAATGTCTTATAATGAGTGACAACCATAACAAACAAAAATATTATTTATGTTAAAGACCTTCCAGCCTAGTGGTAAAGGCTTGAGAATGACATAGTCATGAATCCGAGTTCGAGCCCTGGGAGGGGAGTGTTGGCGACATTTAAGTGGGGCCATGTTTAGCCTCCAAATTTGTCGGGGATTAGTCGGGTTTTGGCTCGGACACCCTTACAAAAAAAATATAATTTACTCTTTTACATTGAGGCCTCCATAGTTTGCAAAGATTGCTAATTAACCTTCTACATTAACTCTCAAAATAAATTGTTTTCTAAAGTATCAACTTTATAGTTTTTTTTGGGTAATCGTGAGTTTTCGGGTCAATTTATGTACATTGATTGATCCCCGGACGACTATGAACGGTTTGGAGTCATTGTAGATGAATCTCCATTACCACAAAAGCTTTGACAATACCTGAAGTCATAATTATAGTTTTGTTAAAAATTAATTATGATTTGTTGAATGAAAAAAAAAGAAAAATTGCATAAAAAAGTAACGTATTTTAACTTGAATGAAGACTAATTTTAGAAAAAAAAAATTATGTCACTAACCACGTCAGCAAATAATATTGAGTTGGATACTACATCACTCGTCACATCAACATGATAACCGATTAATGCTTCAAACGGTTACCCGAGTACTTCAATGTTTAAAAACTTTACATCTTAGGTACCAAAATAAAAGTTTTGAAAGAACGTTACCAAAATATGAATCAAGTTAAAGTACAATATTTTTTCATACAATTTGTCCATAAAAAAGATTTTTATTTCAATTTAGTCATTAAATCTTAAAAATCGCACCTAAAGTTGTTATAATTTTCAAAATTAATTATTTTCATTGATTAAATTCAATTGAAAACATGTAATGTGTTAACAAAATTGAATTATTTTTTATAATAATTTTAAACAATTAAATGGTTTTTGTGGTGGTCTTTAAAAATTATATTATTTTAATAAAAAAAATATGAAAATAGCGAAATCACGTCCAAAATCATATCAACTTTGTATTAATTGCCAATGCAAAAGTATGGTGCCTGAGTTACATGTGATTTTATACGTATTTTTAATAAAAAGTTACATGTGACTCGATCGTTTTCTTATTCACTTATTTTGATTATTGTTATGTTTTTTTAAGTATATAATATTTATATACGATAAATGCAACAATTAAACTCACACACTCTCTTCATCTATTGTAAGGTATGAACCCATAACCTCCTAAAACTCCAAATGCTATGATACCACTAGGCCAAAGGCCCTTTGGTTTATTGTTATGTTATAAACCACTCTAATCGTATTTTTAACGAACCAAACACTAGGAGTGTCAAATTTGTATCATGACAAACCAACCGAATCATATATCAACCGTACCAATTTAATTGGTATCAATTCAGTTGGTACCAACCTAATTGACTGGTAGTACCGTACCAACTATCTAAACTTGATTGGTACGTGGTATTAAAAGTCGTATACCACGGTAATACCATACTGACTTATGTTTTATATTATTTATTAATTTTAAAGTTTAATTTTAAATTTTAAATGTTCTTATTTTCAGTTCTACTAAATTATGATATGGATAGATAGATAGAACTTGACTGAATTCATCTGCTCAACCCTTACAATTTTAGTAACTCGTTCACACCTCCATATTCCGTCATATTAGATTATTAATTAATGATTGTATTATATGAAAATTAATAAGTGGTACTACACATATCAACATGTTATTTGGATACTCGATGCTTTTAGTGCATCTAAATCTTGTTGGTAAAGATGCAATATACATACATTTGTAACTTTAACTTTTAGTTCGTACAAAACTGTACCAACATGCATCAACCAAAAAAAGTTGGTATCGATTTAATTGGTATCATGTATAGTTGGTTGTTACATGGTGTAAAATTTTCGATATTTGAAAAGAAAAGGAAAAAAACAAATTGCATGAAAAAGTAACGTACTTTAACTTTATTCTTATTTTGGATAACGTACTTTCAGGACTTCATTTTGGTACCTAAGATGTAAAGTTTTAAACATTTAAATACCCCGATAACCGGTTGAAGCATTAAACGATTAAGCCATTAACCGATTACCATGCTGATGTGACGAGTGATGTGGTATACAGTATTATTTGTTATTCAACCCTTTCCATCCCATCACTCGCCACAAGAACATGGTAACCAGTTAATGCTTCAATCTGTTACCCGAGTACTTAAAAGTTCAAAATTTTACATCTTAGATATCAAAATAGAAGTTTTAAAAGTATGTCACCCAAAATAAAAATATATTATTTTTTAATGTAATTTATAAAAAAAAAATGTAACATGTTCCAACCAAACAGCCATGACAGTTAAATAATATGTTTATTATCTGATTTAAAAGTTATTTATATTATGATGTAGATACGTGTTTCCTTTGTAAGTAATCGTAGATGAACATGGAGTTTGCTAATTTACGTAAATCTTCCATTCGAGATCTAAATTTTCTTTTGAATTTGAGTTCAAACTGTTAGTTTAGAGAAATCAAAACCAATACGTGAGAAAAGAAGCTTCTTCTCGACTCAATTCTGTCGAATTTTCAGCCCGCCAAGAAAAATTCCACTGAAAAGCTGATTAAATCATCAACTGATGATATGAACGATCTGATTTCGACCTTACGAGTCAACAATGAGGGTATTAGTCGGTGGATTTATGTTGGCTTTGCTACTATTTACAGGTAACATTTTTGTTTCTTCGTTATCTTAAATTAATCAAGCAAGTTTTATTTGAAGATCATCTGAAAGTGACGAAGAATGTGGATTGTTCATGCACGGCGTTTGATTTCATTACTTGAATTAATGTAGATGCCTCGGGTTTATCATCAAATTACACATAATAGTTATATGTTTTCTCTATCTAAGCTTATATTATGAGATCACTGGCAAGCACGGACTCCTGAGAACCTAATTAGCTTCAGGTTTTGAGATTCAAGTTGATGCATGATATCTGTAGCTGCGGCATTGTTAGTGATTATGTTAAGTTATTGTCGATTCAAATGGTAATGATAAGTGAGTTCCAATTGATTTAGATTTATCTTCAGTTTTTGAGATTCAAGTTGATGCAATGATATCTGTAGCTGCGACATTGTTAGTGATTGTGTTAAGTTATTGTCGATTCATATGATAATGATAAGTGAGTTCCAATTGATTTAGATTATTGGTACAATTAACTGTGAGTCAGCGCGGGGGTAAATGTTTATGGAATTCTAAACTTCTGATGTTTAAATCTTCCTAATATAAGGTTTATTTTGATTAAATTTCTATATATATGCTCATCCTTTCTGTTTCTGCAGCCGCTTTAATGAATTGGAGTTTGATATCTCTTGGGAACTTGCTAGCTTCTCTACTTATTCTATTCGTTCATCTGGAAAAAGGTACTAGTATGTGTTTTAAAGATAAAGTTGATCATTCATCTTCGTTGTCATAGTATCAAGTATGTTAAACTGCTGCTACATTGTTATCATCAGTCTCGCATTGTAAATAGGTAGTGCATCGAAATGCATCATTTAATGTTGCATTTAATCTAATATGATTTATTTCTATTTCAAGGATTTAGGCATTAAATTTTTTTGTTTGAAGTTAACCATTGAAAAGAAGGGTGTTTCTTATAGCTATTAGTTTGATTGGTTATATATTCGTGTTGGTGCAACATTGTGGGAACTTGGGTGGATTAGGTCAGGAAGAACCATTTTTATCTTGGTTTTTGTTTTCACTGACTAGCCACATGGTACGAGATATGTAGTATTGGATGTCTTTCCGGGAAAAAGAAGGCTCAACTATTCCAGGACTCTAGCATGGTGTACCCTTTCCATGGATGGTGGTTCCAGGTGTACATTAGATCATTATGCTAGTGATGTTCTAAGATACCTAGATCATTAGCCTAGTTAACAAATATAATGATTTCTCCCATACATTCGCCTTTAATGTTCAGATGACAGATCTTCAATTATGCTTGAGAATTAGGAAACAGTTGGACAATTCAGTAGATTTTTGTATATCTTCAAATATGTGGAGATAATGGGTGATGTGTAAAAGTATGAAAATACTCAAAATAGTCATTATAGTTGCTCCTCTAGTTGATGACCAAACTGCTATCCTTTCACAAACACTAGCTTCTCAGAGTAAGGATGATATTCTTTTTGAAGCTGCACCAAGTTTGCGATTTCTTTTGTATGTATACATACGACCTGCCTACCTTTACTAGTAACCAAGAAAAGTTTATTCACCTATTACTCACTACCACTCTCCTCCGTTCTGCTTCACTTGGTCATGTTTTCCAAGTCTTTTTCCTAATGGTACCCAATAATTTGGATCAAGTTTATAAACCAAAGATGTCCTAAACTATGATGCTGCATACCAAATTACATTTCACCATCGCATAGTTTCTCCCCTCCCTTCCCTTGGCTTCCTAAGTTTCCATGCAACCAAATTTAAGGTTAATTTGAGTATGCAAAAGAACTTTCAAGGCTTGTTCCTTGTCACAATTGTTGAACTTTGTGATAGAAAACAACCACACATACTGCTGTTGTATGCAACTTGCATAGGCGAGGCCTTCCAAGTCGCATGATTGCATGAAAAATGAATCAACTTTAGGTACACTGCAATCGACTTGTTAAGTGACTTGATCCAATTGCATGAGAAGTCATGTGGATGTTGGGATACTTTGGCTACATTACACGCGATATGTTACGCGATTTTGTTTATTGTCGCGTTTTGACTAGGGTGCCAAGTGACTTGTTAGGTGGCTTGCTTCTAGTTGTGTCCAAAGTCGCCTACAGGAATTTGAGGAACCAAGATAGATCCAAAGCAACGTCTAAAGTCGCATACGAGCTTTGGATCAATAATAGACTGCTAGGTCCAATTTATTGTTGCTGCTTTTGTGAGAATTGAAACATTCCATTGTAAATAGAGAAGAACAAATTTCTAAGCACTTTGTTTGATAGTTTGTGAGATTATTGATCGTTAGTTTTCGTTCTCTCTGATTTGTAATCCTCGTTTGATTCATGAAATACGATTGGCCTTCTTTCCGTCTGGCTGTACACTATCACATCGACAGTGGAACCATGTAAGTCTGTGTCATATTTGTGTTGCTTATTGTCATTTTCGTCGTGTGGTTGCATTTGTTTCGCTATTGAATTAGGCATTTTGACGTTCATGTTAGATTCAATCAATTTTTGTTTCCATATTTGTTGTTGAGTTGGTTCTTGTATCTGATCATTGGGATACGAGGTTTTTGATCCCGATCATGACTTCTTAATACTTTTTTAGTCAACTATCTCCCCAAAGATTATATGTTGACCGATGAAGATATATGGTGTCAATTGGATCTTTTGGAGCTTAACAGTACCTTGTATAAAATCTATGGCCCCATGTTTCCTATTAGGAACACACCTACAATAAAATCCAACCAAGATTTATTTCATATCCTTGTTATTTCTGGATAGTCAGATACATTAGGACTGCTTAACAATCTTTAAATTGTATGAAGGCAAGCTCCAATTCCTAGCTGCATTCTTTAAGCATTATAACAAATGTGTCTGGCAAAACATTTCTTTATGGTGTATCTGTTTAACAATTGATACCATGTCAAGCTTACTTAGATTATTTTGCTTTTTGTAGGATTTCACTCAAGGGGGAGAGTGGTGCTATGGTTTATTGTTGTTTTCTCACTTGTTGCTATCCTTTCACGAGTGACTTTTCTTTTGGCATGGGCCATTTGGTGTGGAAGATGCAGTGCAGAAGAACCTCTGTGGGCGAAGATAATAGGATTCAAGATGTGAGATTTTAGTTTCTATCTCAATACTATTATCAACATCAACTACTCTTGCTAAATTTTCAATCTCGTCAGCTTCAGCTGCTCTTGCTATGTTTAATCTGTTATGCATGCTAATGAAGTATGTTTTTGCAGAGTCCAATCATGGAAATCGCCAATAGTAATTTATCTTTTGATCTTGCAACTATTAGCGGCGTTCAGTGCTTTTACTGAACTCCATGAAATCAGATTACATTTGTTCACATGGGCATCTTCATTTTTGGAAAGTCTAGCAACAGCTGTAGAGCAAATAGGTTGGTACAACTTGATAAATTTGAAGCTTTGCTTGATGATTTCTCTCTGACATACCAAGCCTCAACTTTGCATTTTCTTAACACGTCTTGATCTTCTTCAATTTTGACACATGAGAACTGAACCGTGGAATGCCTATTGCATTATTAGTATGGCATTAAGAATTGTCATCTGTGATTAGAAGATAATTTTCCCGTTTGCTGTGGCTTACCCTTCTGGTAAAGGTGTAAATTTGGAGGGCACTGAGATATGACCCTTCTCTAATACTTCTGTCACTCAGGTGCTTCAACAGTCTATTTATCAAGAAAGTTCTGTTATTGGATACTTAACTGATTATGGGGCACCAGATGGTAGAACTTCTTTGTTTTTGTCATTTATATGGTTTATTATCTTGCTAATTTGACATATTTCAGAAGTGATGTTGCTGTGCTCAACTTTGTTACTAAATTGTACCCTCGAAGCTAGCATGTAGTCTGTATTCTGCTACGTTAATTGCTTTCTTCATGGATGCTTAACACATTTACAATCCTCTATTCTTTACCTTCCATAGTTGTTGCATAAGCTGAAAAATAGAGAACGATATGGGTTGTTTTGAGATAAGAGTAGTCTAAGGTTTGCTTTTCCTAGTTAAATTTCTGTGGTGGTTGTATGGTTGTGTATATCAAGATAAAAAAATGATGCTAGTTTTTTGTTTGACTTAACTTGAGTTCTTAGGATTTGATGTCATAATTGACTGGAATTTTTCTGTCCCCATTTGACACGTATGGAAGGTTCACATGTGAAGGTTGCTTTCTTCTTGCTGTTGCCAGCAGTTCAGTTGGTTGTGGGTATCAGCAACACTTCTTGGGTTTCTTTGCCATTTTTCATTTCTAGTTGTGTGGGTCTTGTGGATTGGTCCTTAACAAGCAACTTTCATGGCCTCTTCAGGTGACTTTATAGTAGTTTTTGATAATCCTAGTACAATGATATTGATTCTTGTTGTATCAAGTATCATACATTAATTTTGCTTGCTTTTGCTTACATTGTCATGAAGATGGTGGAGACCTCTTTGGCTGTACGCGGGCTTCAATATTTTCTTTCTCTACGTCTATCAGCTCCCACCACGATTACCTAAGTTCTTGAATGTGATAGGTGATTTCATCGGTCTATACAGAATCTCTTCAGCATCTGATTGGACACAAATTTGTTCTGGTCTTTCGCTGATCATATTTTTCTTCGGGGTACACCCCTTTCCAGGAACTTGTAGGGTATTTTTTTTAGTTTTTAATTCGTTCAACATTTAATTTTGGGGTACACATTTTTCCGGTATATAAGTCTCTATTGTTTGGTGTATTTCTATTTAACTACCCATGTAGAGGACTGTAAGTTATGCTACTTTACCTTACGAAGCTTTGGTATAGTTTATAAATTTGTGCAGCATTTACGCAGTTATCTTTTGTCAAGATTGACTTGGAGGAAATGAATTTCATCATGTCCATGAGAGAAGGCAACTTGACCGAACATCTTCTTCCATCAATGAATTCTTTTTTCATTCGTGAATCAAGGTAATTGATTTGAAATATGATGCAAAATCCATCTATTTCATTATCATACTGAATATATTTCCTTGTCATCAATAGTGCATTTGCTGGACAAGAGAAAGTCGGTATAGATTACCAGCCAATTGTTGGGGTTAGCATAAAAAATTTGCATTATTACATTGAAATGTGCTGCACTAAGTTTTTGTTGAACAGCTATTGTATTGTCATTTTAAATCTCTATGAGATGTACAGTCGATATAATTTCAAATTTTGTAAAAAAAAACACCATTTGGATGACTGCTGCCCAGATTTTGTGCAACTACATAATTATGTGTGTATCACTGAGATTCACATCCAAAGTCATCTCAATGGAGATAACTGAAATTCCTGTTACTTGTTTGTCCAAACTAGCTTCTACTTAAGAATGTGAACATGTCAATTTATTTACTCACACACAGATCTATCAAGGTTTTCTAGAGATATAATTTAATGCAATGTCATTTGTAGACCTGGTGAACGGGACACCAATCTTCTGTTAAGGGGTGCAGTTTTTCGTACATTCAGCATCAACTTCTTTACCTATGGTGGCCCGGTACATATCCTAAACTGCACATACTCATTATCTTTTGATATATAACAGACAAGCGTTTGAATAATTTATATCTAATGATTATTTTAACAAATATTGCCCCTAGTTTTTGGCATGGCCATTTTAATATCTTCTCAAAATTTCATATAATAGAACCAAATCCTGTTTCTGGAAGTATCAAATGCTCTTATAGTCCTATGTACTACTACGATGTAAAGTTCTACAATAAACATTGAACAGAAGGTTTGGCCTAAATTAATCACTAAGCTTAGCTTGTAAACATGAATTTAGAATTGGACCTAGTTAATCTGAGTACTACATTGGCACGACCATTCTAATAACTTCTTAAGGATTTCATAAAACAGAACAAAAATATTTTTCTGGGAAGTCTCAGATGCTCTCATATACTACCATGATGTAATGTTCTACAATAAACAGAACGATAGACAGAGGGTTTGGTCCTAAATCATCACTAGGCTATGCTTGCAAAGAATTTAAAATTACCTCAAAACTAAGTGATTGACCAATAAATGCACATGGTATCTGGCATGTTTGGAGGTCAATGACATGATCTAAGTGAGTCTGGAAATCAATAGGTAACTAAATCTTCTCAACAGACTATAGCTGCAAAAAGAATGCAAATTTCTTGTGGTAGTTCTACCAAAAAGAAAGGGTTCAAGGAGGTTACTTGATGCCTTGATCCTAATCTAGGTAAAGTCTGATTTTTCTCCGCAAAATCCAACTCAGAACTCAGAAGTATGTAAGTTTGTGATGCATTCATTTATGATATTGCATATACTCCAATCAACTCTTTGGCTTACACCTCCATCTTCACCTTTAAAAGCTGTTATGGTCGCATATATCGATGTGCTTCTACAGTATTTATGATGCTAAGATTTTCTTCTACAAACGCTGGATCAACTGTCTTTGGATCTATACTGTTGACCAGAACATGGGATTGTCTTAATATCTTATATGAATCTTTTTATTTTGTAATTGTACCAATTTCCCCCATGATTGTTGCTTCCTTGGCCTAGATACTGTATTCTGGTTTCAGGTTGAGTTGAGCATGTCGAATATCTTTCGGCTTATTTGTTAAATTTTTCAGTGATGAAATTGACAGGTCTCCTTGTTTGCTCTTGCTTTATGGAGCTTCTATTATGCAAGCATATGTGCATTTGGATTACTTGGATATGTCGGCTACGTTATATTTTCTTTCCCATCCTTGTTTCATTTGCACCGGCTAAATGGGCTGCTCCTTGTCTTCATTCTTCTGTGGGCTGTTAGCACATATATTTTCAATATAGCCTTTTCATGCCTGAACTGGAAAGTCGGAAAGGTAAGTTTTACTAAAGTGACTGCCTCTTTTCTTGAGGTTTATTGTTCCCTTTTGTGAAAAATCTGACCCATACCAGCTTTTTTATTGTCCTAAATTGCATAAGCAGGACACAGAGATTTGGGAAATGGTGGGGTTGTGGCATTATCCTTTTCCTGGCTTCTTTATCCTTGCTCAGTTTTGTCTTGGAGTTTTAGTTTCCCTTGTTAATCTTGTGAACAACTCTGTTTTCCTGTACATCTCTGATGAGGTCCACCATACTGACGATGTGGACCCTGCTCCGGAAGGTGAGTAGATGCTTACGTTTTACTAATTGGTAACTGATAATCTTTCCTTCTAGGTTTTAAACTGAAAGAATAGTTAAGCCTCTTTATCACATCTACATGGCCTGCATTTCTTTTTTGGGGGGGACTAAGCGATGCATAACTTTCCCATTAATAGCCACCATCCTGCTGTTGTAGATTCATACAGAAGATTTTTCTAGTTTGTTTGCAGTTCTATGTGATTTGAACTTTCTTCTTACACAACTCAGACGGTTTGAGCTGAATCCTTATTTTCTTGTAGTAGATGTGCATGCCTTTCGTTTTGTGCTTTATGCTTTCCTTTTTGTCATCAATAGTTTCTCATTTCTCACTGAATGTGGAACATTATACTTGATCAGTCGTTATTCTTATTAAAAGCACATGCTCGCCTTCTGAATCATCCTAATTGCAGTTGAAGAAGAAACAAAAGTGCTGATTGTAGCCACAATCGCTTGGGTACTGCGGAAATGCAATCGAGCTATCATGCTGGTGCAGATATTTCTCATTGCAATGAAGCCAGGTTTCATCCATGCTGTATATAGTACGTTTTCTAACGATATCATTTACTTTCTAATCCAATTATGGAGCCAGCTCTTATAAGTGCTAACATTTATCTGTGCTTCAGTGATATTCTTTTTCCTATATTTATTGAGCCACCGCATCAGCACAAGAGTGCAACAATCCCTACTTCTTCTGTGTGAGATTCATTTCGCGATCTTGTACACTCTCCAGATAACTCTGATCTCTGGAGTAAGGGAGAAAAGTGAGACCACAAGTTGGGAAATTTTATCTCAATTAGGTATCATCTATTTCTAATTGGTTCACTTTAAAATACTTCAGTAGCATGGCAAGCTACGGGTTTCATTTTCTTAATAGACTTTTGTGACATCACTAGTTCAAAACAACAGACTTACCAAATAATTTTCAAATCACCTTACTAAGGATTTATAAGACTCATAATTCTAATTCATAACCAATGTAGCGAGGAATTGTCGCAAACTCTCTCACTTAAATTCCATACATCCTTGTTAGACCTATATAATACTCAAATGACCCATATCAGTACTCTCACGAGATGTATGAGTCCAAGAAATCACTTGTCACGTCCCGCAAGAATGTTCCTTGAGAAGCCACATTACTAAATACTCCACGCTGTTCTAGGGTTTATATGTATCTAATCCTTCTATGCAAATATCAAAGTAGAACATTCTAGACTTGTACATACTACATAGAGGCATATAAATAGATGGTAGTTCCTTGTTTGTAAAGCACCAAGAGATTGTTGATGAAAAATGATAATTATATACGATAAAAAAATGTAATATATAAACTTTTACAAAATAATTTTTTAAGTTGGAATGGATCACTAATGAACAACAAAAAAGGTGAGATCGGGTTGGAGTTGAAGATTGTGTAGGTGGAGGGTTGGATTGTGGTCATGGGCGGAGCCACCGTGGAGCCAAAAGTGGCATTGGCTCCCCCTCAAACTTAAAAAATAAATTTTGATATAGTCTCAAACCTCAATTACCCACTTGAAACTTTATTTATTCGAATCAAGTTCTTTTTCTTTCTTTATAAATGTCAAGTTTTCTAAAGGTTCTAAAATAAACACGTTACTTTATTGAATACACAATTTTTTACGATAAATTTCATGTATTTTCAAAGAGCTTTTCTTATTTACATGGTTATCTATGCATATTGTATTTGTTTGTATAAATATAGACATAGTTATGTCATTTAGGTCACTAATGATTTTGAACTCTCTTTTACAACTAATTTTAGGGCAACTGTTTGATTCAAAAACATATGTATTTAATAGGATTTTCTCAACCTTAAAATCATGAATTTTCTTAATTTTTTCTAGGCATCCCCTAGATAAATTTTCTGGTTCCGCCCCTTATTGTGGTTAAATATAGTGTTAGTAGTACATTGCCCAGGACTTATAAGGAACTATTAATTCTAACTAGTAACCATTATCACACTCTTTTTACTAAGATTTTTTTGTTCTGTTAATAAGATCTATAGCCAAATTCATGCAGGTCTCCTTGAATGTGATAGCTCCTGGAGTTTTGTGGAAATAGCTTTGCTTGCATGTTTTTGTGCCATTCAGAAGCATGGTCACAAAGTTCTGTTTTCGTTCTCCGCTATTGTGCAGCACACACCTCGCCCACCAATTGGATTTAGCATTTTGAAAGCTGGTTTGAATAAGTCAGTTTTGTTGTCTGTTTACGCCAACAATAATGAAGATGATGATAACCCCTCCCAAGGTTTACGTTGATCCATCATTAAATTTAATGTCCCAATACAATGCCATCTAATATTTTAGTTTATCCTTTACTTCTTATATTTTGAACCTTTCTGATGATTGTATGTCCACATATCTTCTTTCAGAGAGAAAAGTGGCTTCATATCTCAGCGCGATAGGCCAGAAGTTCCTGTCATTGTATCGTTCATTTGGCACTTACATCGCATTTGTAACTATACTTATCACAGTTTACATGTCAAGGCCCAATTATGTGTCATTTGGGTACCTCTTTCTTCTCCTTTTCTGGATTACTGGTAGACAACTTGTTGAGAAGACAAGAAAGCGTCTATGGTTCCCATTGAAAGTATATTCAATTGTGATGTTTATTCTCATATATATTTTGAGCATCTTCCCCAGTTTTGAATCATGGATATCCACAAAAGTTGATATTTATACATATCTTGGCTACAATTCAGAAACATCAGTCTTTGAAAATGTTTCCGAATCCTTGGCGATAACAATCGCAATGCAACTTTACAGCTACGAGAGGAGACAAAACAGGTATCCTAACTTAGAGGACACAAATCGGCTGCAATTTGGGGTGATTGGGTTCATTAGAAGGCTTCTTATATGGCACAGTCAAAAAATTTTGTTTGCTGCTATGTTCTACGCCTCAATATCTCCAATAAGTGCATTTGGTTTCTTTTATCTTCTTGGAACCGTCTTCTGCTCGATTTTGCCAAAAGCGTCGAGGGTACCATCCAAATCATTTTTAGTTTACACAGGAGTTCTTGCGTCATCAGAGTATTTATTCCAGTTATGTGGGGACCAAGCTGCGATGTTTCCTGGGCAAAAGTACTCCGCTTTGTCTAACTTTCTAGGTTTAAAGGTATATCAGCCTGGACCTTGGGGGTTGGAAGCAGGTTTAAGGGCTAAGGTACTGGTGATTGCTGCATGTACCCTTCAATATAATGTCTTTCATTGGTTAGAGATGATGCCCAGTTGGCTTTCAGGTGTAGGTCAATGGGAAGAACCTTGCCCATTGTTTTTTTCTGAAGAAGATGTGTTACCAATTGCCTCCATTTCAAATGGAGATAACACTCCATCTGTTAAGAAAATGGGGTTGAGAACCAGCAGCTCATGGCCGCCAAACATCCAAGAATTGTCTGGTGATGCGGGTGTGGCACCAGGAATATCCAACAGTAGCAGCAGGCGATATATGCTCGGATCTTTCTTGGGAAGGGTTAACGAGAACCAAAAATGGAACAAAAAACAAGTTCTTTCCTTGAGAAAGGAGAGGTTCGATATGCAGAAGGCTTCCCTAAGGATATATTTGAAGTTTTGGATGGAGAACATGTTCATCCTCTTTGGCCTTGAGATTAACACGATTGTGTTGCTTCTTGCAAGCTTTGCTCTTCTTAATGCCATATCTTTGCTGTATATTGCATCACTTGCTGCTTGTGTTCTTCTAGGCCGGCAATTAGTACAAAGATCATGGTCGTTATTTGTCGTCTTGTTTGCTAGTGTTCTCTTACTTGAATATTTTGCTATTTGGAAGACTGAAAGGTCTTTAAGTGAACTTGCTCCAGGTGAGGCTACCTTGCATTGCCATGATTGCTGGAGGAATTCGGAATCTCATTTCAGCTATTGCCGATACTGCTGGCTAGGTACTGTCATCTCGATACCTATATCCTGACTGCCTACTTTGATGGTTTGCATTCTTCATTTTTGCTCACTTTCCTTTTTCGTGTAGGACTTGCTGTTGATGATCCAAGAGTGCTGATCAGTTATTTCCTAGTCTTCATGTTTGCATGTTTCAAGCTTCGAGCTGATAGATTTTGCAGTTTCTCGGGATCATATACATACCGCCAAATGATTTCTCAACGTAAGAATGCTTTTGTTTGGCGAGACCTCTCTTTGGAAACCAAAACCATTTGGACTCTTCTTGACTATTTGAGACTATACTGCTATTGTCATCTGTTGGATCTCGTGTTTGCCTTGATCTTAATCACTGGAACTCTTGAGTACGATATTTTGCATCTTGGATATCTTGCTTTTGCTCTAACCCTGTTCCGGCTGAGGCTTACGATACTAAAGAAAAAAAACAAGATCTTTAAGTGGTTGCGGATATACAACTTCGCAGTCATTGTTCTCTCTCTTGCATATCAATCCCCGTTCGTGGGTGCTTTTAATGATGGGAAGTGTGAAACCATAGACTATGTTTATGAGGTTATTGGATTTTACAAGTATGACTATGGATTTCGGATTACCTCAAGATCTGCGTTGGTTGAGATTATCATATTCATTCTGGTATCATTGCAGTCATACATGTTTTCCTCCCCAGAGCTCAATTATGTATTTCAATATCTTGAAGCTGAGCAAATTGGTGCCATCGTACATGAACAAGAGAAGAAGGCTGCATGGAAAACTGAACAGTTACAGCATATTCGTGAAGATGAGGAGAAGAAGCGTCAGCGTAATATGCAAGTCGAAAAGATGAAATCTGAAATGCTTAACTTACAGATTCAGCTTCACGCTACATGTCCCGTTCATGCTCATGGTAGTGATGATTCACCTCATTGTGAAGGTTTACGGAGAAGGAGAGCCGTCTCTCTAAATACAGATCATACCAATCAGAATGTCCACAAAGAGGAAGACATTTTTAAGAAACAAGAGTCAGATAGTAATGTGGACTTCGCATTTCCTTTCGACTTTCATGGAACTGAAAGCTATTCAGCACTTGGGTCTCCAAAACATTCACATCTTATTGAAGTCGCTGAGTTTGAAGAGGATGACACAGAGATAGAAAAGAAACACAAAAGCCTTAGGAGAGAAAGTACATTGATATCTGCTGTACAGTTGATAGGTGATGGTGTTTCTCAGGTACAGTCAATTGGCAATCAGGCAGTTTCCAACATAGCAAACTACTTGAATATCCCTCCARAAGATTTAGATTCAGATGACCCTACTTCACTTGCCGCGACTGGTAGACATAGTGAGACAGAAAGCCAAAATGGGAGTCGCATGGCTTCGAATCGTTCATCTTCTCTTCATTCTGAAAAAAGTAGAACTAGTTCCGATTCAGCAAGTTGTGGGAAAATATTTCAACATATATGGGGCCAGATGCAATCAAATAATGATGTCGTGTGCTATTGTTGCTTCCTGCTTGTATTTCTTTGGAACTTTAGCCTGCTTTCTATGGTGTATCTTGCAGCTCTCTTCTTGTATGCTCTATGTGTGAACACTGGACCTAATTATATTTTTTGGGTTGTAATGCTGATCTACACAGAGTTCTATATCTTGATTCAGTACGTATATCAGATCATCATCCAGCATTGTGGTTTCACCATCGAATCGATCTCTCTTCCAGAGTGGGGATTTCCCACAAACAGAATAACCTCTTCATTCGTTATCAGTTTGTTGCCACTTTTTCTAGTCTACCTATTTACCCTCATTCAGAGCTCTATAACTGCCAAAGACAGTGAACATATTTTCTCAACCGAGTTCAGCAGTCTTACAGGGAAAATTGTCAACCCTAAGGAGGTTCTTTTTAGTTCAAGCTGGAGAGAAAATACACAAAGGATGCTTCAGCTTGCAACAAATATTGCCAAACTGATCATTGGAAATTGTCTTAGATACTGGAAATCACTGACACAAGAAGCAGAATCTCCCCCTTACTTTATCCAGTTATCACTAGATGTTCATTCATGGCCAGAATACGGGATTCAACCAGCAAGCGTTGAATCTGGAGTAAACGAACTTCTTAGATTTGTTCATAATTCAAGATGCAAGGAATCAAACCCTGACACTTGCTCTTGTGCCAGTAATGTCGTAGTTCGCAGTATTGAAAAGAGTAAAGACAACCCGAATGTGGCCTTGGCTGTTTTTGAGGTCACATATGCATCCCCAAGGGAGGAATGTATTTTAGCCGAAAGGTACATGTCTCTGACGCCTGCAGCTGATGTAGCAAAGGAGATAGCAGAAGCCCAAGATGCTTGTCTTTCTAAACAACTAGGATTTCCATATTCTATTATCTCGATAATAGGGGGAGGCAAAAGAGAGATTGATCTATATGCCTATATATTCGGTGCGGATTTGGTTGTTTTCTTTTTGGTTGCCATCTTCTACCAATCTGTTATAAAGAACAAAAATGAGTTTCTAGACGTTTATCAGCTTGAAGATCAGTTTCCAAAGGAGTTTGTCTTCATGTTGATGGCAAGTTTCTTTTCCGTTTCATGGCTAACTTTTGCTCTTTTTTATGGCACATTTTAAAGTTCCACTACTTTTATGCAGGCTATCTTCTTCTTGATTGTCCTTGATCGTGTTATATATCTACGTTCATTCGCCACCGGTAAAGTGATCTTTTACATCTTTAACCTCATAATATTCACATACTCCGTCACCGAGTATGCCTGGAGTATGGAACCTTCACAGCATAATGCAGCAGGTTTGGCACTCCGTGCGATATATCTTACTAAAGCTATTTCTCTGACCCTGCAAGCGATGCAAATACGAGCAGGGGTTCCACATAAGAGCACTTTATATAGGCAATTTCTGACTAGCAGTATTTCTAGAGTTAATTATTTGGGTTGCCGGCTCTACCGTGCACTGCCGTTCCTCTATGAATTGAGGTGTGTTCTTGATTGGTCATGCACCACCACATCTTTGACAATGTATGACTGGCTCAAGGTTAGTATTTCCCCTCCTCTACACATTCCGTTTTTAGAGACAAACTAAATCATGTTTAGTGGATCTCTTTTGTCTTAGCTATTATGCATATTTTACTGATCTGCAGACAAACTATATCATGGTTACTGGATTTCTTTTGCATTTGCTATATATATATATACATAGGTTCATATGTGACTCATTGAAAAAATCCATTTGAATATGCATATATGAACCCATATGAATAATTTGTAACGCCGGTTCACATATGCATCTTCAAGTAAATTTTTTCAATTGTTCACCTATAAACCTTCCCTTAAACTTCCCTTCTTACCTTATCACGATATTTAGCCTTATTTGAACCGGCCCCTATATATTTACATATATACATATAATATATATATAGGGTTGGGTTCCGGTAGCAATTCAAAATTTCGTAGGAACTACTTTGTTAACGGAATTTCACAAATGTTAACATTTAACATTAAGGTATATTGACTTATGTTAACATTACCATGTTAACATATGCGAGGATGTTAACTTCTGTGAACCTCTGCTAACAAAATGGTTCTAGTGGTTCCTACAAAAAAAATCCTACATGATATATGTATATATATAGAGCAAGGATCATGTGAGAAGTTAAAACATTTTGCGAGAAGGGTGAAAGTCTCAATATCATATATGATTAGACTCCTTTGGGTGTTTTTAATCATATATGATTAAGCGTCTATGTTTGTCAATGCAACATGTGTTTAATCATATATGATTAAGCTTGTGTATCATGTGTGTAATCATATATGATATTGAAACTTTTCGTCTTCTCGCAAAATGTTTAACGTCTCGTTTGAACCTGACCCTATATATATGCATATTTTACCTGGCATATACATCGACTACATAACAAAATGCTGTTATGGTAGGTCAAGAAATTGGCCCTTCATGCCCCAAAGGATTTTTCATTTTCATTTTCATTTTCATCATTACACGAGTATGAGTGAGTTTTCACTGTTTGCCATGGGATTAAAGGCCTATGGCGTTGTTTCATCAGTTGCATGCTCTATTGCAAGTATTTTCTTTTGCTGTGCAAGTTGCTTGGATGAGTGTTCTTTATATAAACTGATATCTGTTAATTTTCCGGTTATAGTTGGAGGACATAAATGCAAGTTTGTACCTTGTCAAATCTGATGCAGTTCTGAACAGGGCAGATCATAGACAAGGAGAGAAGCAGAAGAAAGTTACTAAATTTTGCAATGGCTTATGCTTATTCTTTGTATTAATCTGCGTCATCTGGGCTCCTATGCTTGTAAGATATTTCCCTTTTGATCTCCTTGAGTCGTTTTCATCTCAGTAGAATAGTCTGGGCTTAAGCTTGGTAGAATAGAACCTGACCTGCTTTCTTGCTTGACTTTCTTACTGATTGTACCTACATGTTTAAGTTCTTATATACATTAATCCACTTGTATTACATATTTTACCTTATTATATTGTCTGCTTGCACATCATTGAATCGTGCACATACAATCGAATCTTATTCTACCTGTTATATTTCCGGATTACCTGTCATATTACCTACCTTATTACCTCTCTCGACAATTCTGCACACATCCTACCCCTCCCAAACCCTTCTTTCGAGTGAGATATATTGGTTTCATTTGGATAGAGTGGGCAAATTCTTCAGTTTACGTATTATATCTGGGGCCTAAGCTCCGTAGATTAACTGGTTGCTGTTCTTCTGTACCTCAAAATTTATATCATATAAGCAATATGAGGCACCATGGAATTGTCGATTAAATGCAAAAATTGTCCACCTTGGAATCCTTTAGAACTATCTCCGTTGTCCCTAACATTTGATGTCTATAAATCCCTTTAGACTGGCCAGAATCTATCTACTTATATATAAGTATGAAGACTTCATATCCATTTTGCCAAGAGTACCCTCGATGAAAACATTCATGAAGTATCTCACAGTTGTCAAAATAATCCTTGCATGCCTATAGAGGAAGGTGTTAAGTTGTAATTGTTTCTCAGTATCTTTGTGCTTGAACAACTACTAGCCATTTATTTCAAAGCATAGATAGACTAACTATGAAGCCAAAAGAAATTATAGAGTATGCGACTAAAAACAATCATAAGCGATGAACTCACCTGGAGTTCCAGAACATGAATGGCATCTTTCCATGTCCTCCTTTTGAAAGCCAACTTCTTAGAGCATCTCCTACAGCTTCTTAGAAAGCCAAACTCTGGGTGGGATATACTGGGTTGGTTTGGTTTGGTTTGGTTTGGTTTGGCTCGGCTTGTAGAAATACAAGGGAAAATATTGCACTAATAATGAGATGCTTAAGCTTAAACAATTTGCTAATATTTGTTGGGATTTTCACTTGCAGATGTATAGTAGTGGTAACCCGACAAACATAGCAAACCCGATTAACGATGCCAGCGTTCAGTTTCATATAAAGACAAATGGTGGACGGTTGATGTTATACGAGACAACTCTATGTGCAATTACACCATGGAATGTGTTGAGACGTTTTGTTGATCTTGACCCTAATAATTATCTTGATTCATATAATGTGGATGATATTCAAATGATATGTTGCCATGCTGATGCCATTAGTTGGTGGCTTGTTCCTGATGCTATTCAAAGAAGATTCATTCAGTCTCTTGATATGGCCATGGATATGAAATTCTCTTGGGTACTCACACGAGACCGTCCTAAGAACAAAGAAGTTGTAAAATACGAACAAACAATACAACGATCAGATCTTCCCAAACCATCGGACCTCGAGAATGTTCTTAATGGTTCCAGCGACAGCTTTAGAATAAATAACACTTTTCCAAGGTACTTTCGAGTAACTGGTTCTGGGGATGTCAGACTCTTCGACCAAAAGGTACATACATACATGCTCTATATACATACATGCATGCTTTATATGCATGCATACATACATATATGCTTTATATACATACATACACACATGCTTTATCTGTATCTGATCTCTCTATCTCATCCACAACCATTGTGGAATGGTATAAAATTCACATGTCCGCTGACTCCATGTCCCATCACTGTCCCACCAATCATGTGAAGATACGTTAGTATCTTAAGTAATTCATCTTTGTATTCATATTCTTCTATAAAGTAATGACGTGCCTTCACATGATTGGTGGACATGGAATTTGGGGACGGGTGATTTTTATACCCTTGAATGGACGGATTTCCATCAAACTCATTTTAGGGTGGCCAAAATGAATACCGATCTTGGATGAGTTTCCAGAATCCGCTAGAACTTTAAAACACTCCCACATGCTTGGAATCCAACTATACATAGAGCCATATGTCATCTCATATGGGCATGTCGTCTTCTAATATTTCTATATGGATTTGTTAAAAGGGGAAAATGCAACAAAAAACAAAAGAATGATCGATCAATTTAACAAAGTTTCAAATTTTCCTCTGGCTCACAAATGGAGATCAACCTACGCACGGCACCGTAGTTTCAACACCATATAAATGGAAATTACAAAATGGTGAAATATATTGCGGAATGTTGCATGAAAATGCAACAAAGTTTGGTTTAGTTCTTATTTAGTGTAACGGAAAAAATTCTTAAAATTTCTATTTTGTTCCCATTTTGGGTTTTTGATGGTATTCTGCTAATACTGTAGCATTTCATGACATGAATATCCATTTTCCTTAGCTTACTAAAGGGTTCTATAGAATGAACTTGTTGAATGCTATTAAATGTTACAAGATCAACAAGTTATCAGTCAAAATAGGTACAAAATAGAAAATTCTGAAATAGAAAAATTATTTGAATGTGAACTAAGACAAACTTTGCGCTTGTTAAAAAGATTCACTGTGAGCAGTTGGCCTGTGAAGTTTTAAGAATGCCAAATGCTGTTATTTTACAGGCAGGCGGTGTGGACGCAAAACTTCTCCTGAATCGTCGAGGGGATTCAGAATGGTGGTCCTTTTTCGATATTGATTGGTTCAATTCAAATGTGTGTGGAGATTTGATGGGCCCCAAGGCCATTGTCGTCTCAGAGGAAACACCACGTAAGTCTTGCATAATTGAATTGAAATTATATATACTCATTTACAAACTCAATAAATAGTACAAACTTACAAGCCAGTTTTCATGTGTTATATGTAAAAGATCTCCGAAAATTGTGTCAAAGGTTACTCGAAATAAGAAAAATGTGATTCCAGACAAAGCAATATTCGTACAACCAAATTTTTTCAGATTGGAACTCTTAATTCTTGTTCTTTATCTCTCAAATATCTATTTTTAGAATCAACTATTTCACATATGAAACAACGCTTGTGAAAATGCAATATATATATATATAGTGTTGTTTTATATGTGAAACGTTCAAGACTGTTCTGTGTGTGGAAAAAACAGGCTCACACGTTTCACATATGAAACAACACTATGCCAAACATTGTATTTCCTCACCTTTTGTTTCATACTCATGTAATTTGTAAATTTGTACAAATAATTGGTTTTGTAAAAGAAAGGAACTAGACATATAAGAGAGAGAAGGGGGGGGGGGGAGTTCAATTGCAAACTGGGACAAATGATAACGTGAAGTTTTTACAACATTTATAATAAAGTCTTGGAATACGTGACGCGCTCTCGTTTGTCTCCTGATTCACAGTGAACCTACCTATATACATAATATATATATATATATATATATATATATATATATAGACTTGGGATCATGTGAAACCAACAAGTTTTCATTAGACCACTTTTTTATACTTGAAACTTCACAGTAAAACGCTGTGAAGGTAACCTTCATAGTGTTTTTGTTGTAAAAATAACCTTCACAGTGTTTTTTGTTGTGAAGGTTCGGCTTTTTTTTTTACTTTTGCAGGGTTTTGCTGTATCTCACTTGAACCCAACCCTATATATATATATATATATATATATATATATATATAGTAACATTTATAAAATAATGATTAACTATTGATGATGTTTTTCTTCTTTGTGAATGTAAGAGGGGCTTCTTGGTGAGACGTTGAGCAAATCCAGTATATGGGGTCTCTACATTACATTTGTGTTAGCAGTTGGTCGCTTCATAAGGCTTCAGTGCTCTGACTTGAGAATGAGAATCCCATTTGAAAACCTTCCCTCTTGCGACAGGTACCCTCTAAAACAAATCCATACATACACCTCTCCACAATTTATAAATACACTTTCTTTGGACCTTTTTTCCAAACATAAAATGGGACCCACAAGCAAAAAAAACAAGCTTTTTGTCTTTTGTGAGATTTTTTCACAAGCTTAAGTGGCCAAAAGCTATTCAAAAAACTTCATTGTGGATGCTCTAAGAAACAAACCGAGATAATATTTTGGACAAAATGCGTTAACATTCAATGTAGTTGCACATAGTTCATTCTTATTGTAATCAATAACATTCTTTCTCAATCAATGTGACAAAGTTTCAAAAAATTATTTAATATTAACAAAGGTTTGACACTTTCTATTTTTACTCATTTTGACATGCTGATGTCGTCACATTCACTTTGCTGCAACCTCTTTTGTAAGCATTTCCTAATGCGTCAAAATGCTAATGTCTTGATTCAGAGACACATCTAGATTTTTTTTAGGTGGTAATATCATTTTACTATAAAAAAAACAAAAATGATATTTTTCATAAAATAATCTTTGGTCTATAGGTTAGTTTTTTGTTTTTCATACGTGGGATCGTGTGTTCAATTCTTTTATTGCAAAAAAATTTAGAAACATAATAAAATCTGAAATTAAAAGCTAAAAACTAAGGAAAATGACACAACGTCATGCAAACCAACTTTACCAATGAAAACTTGTGTCATATTTCAAAATATATACTTTTGTACAAAATAATACGGTAGCATCTTTCACGACCCTATAAATGTTTACACTATGACGAAGGAACGAAACGGCACGTATCTATTAAAGTTGGTCCGTCCCTGTAAGTCATCAAATTCTACAACATCAACAGCTCAAAATTTGTTGGATTTTATGGCAATGTTTTTCACCATTTTGTGGGTGGTTTGGTGTGTAGGTTGATTGCAATTTGTGAGGATATATATGCTGCTAGAGCTGAGGGGGAGCTGGTAGTGGAGGAGGTTTTATATTGGACATTGGTGAAAATATACAGGTCACCACACATGCTGCTAGAATACACCAATCCTGATTGAAAGAAATCACAATGGTAAGTTCTTTTTCTTTTTTTAGTAGAGAAAATACATCTATGAGTAAATTATGGTTTTTGTCTTTGTGGTTTGGTAATAATTTGGATTTTCATTCATGTGGCTTATAAATTGCGATTTTTTATGGTTTATAATTTATTGTTATTTTCATTTCTGAACTAATTCCTACCTTTTAAGTACAAAGGACCAAAATAGTAAAAAATTATAAACCACGAGGACTGAAACAATAATAAATTGTAAATCATATGGACGAAAATAACAATGAATTACAAATTATAGGGATGAAAATTACAATTATTAACAAAACCACAAGGACGAAAAACTTAATTTACTCTAGATTTATTGATAGTTAATGTTAGGGTACGTTTATTAATGTTGCAAAATGTATAGTGTATATATATCCATCAGATGAGCAGCCAGCTCATAGGGTTGTAATCTAGATTGTATCACTCAGTCTTTTTTTTTTCTTTTTTGAATATATGATATTTATATACGACAAATGCAACAAATAAACTTACATACCCTCCTTACTTATGGTGGGGTTTGAACCCCTGACCTCTTAGGAGGCCAAAATCTACGATACCGCTAGGCCAAAGGCTTTTTGGTTCATTTAGTATTTGCATGCATTTTCTCCCTTCCAATTCTTTTCTTTGAAATATGAATTAAAGGCTGTTTATCAAAGGATTATTGGGTAAGTATTTACCGGGTGTCATTTCTTTTACCGAGTTTGTTTGGTAATGACCGAGGATCTTACCAAGTGAGGGGAAAAAAAACTCTTACCTGGTAAGCTTTTATGGAGGAAATACACTTACCAACAATCCATTTTGATGATCAAAAATGTTATCTGATAACGTAAGTGACAACGTAACCGCTTACCCGGTAACCATTAGGTAAATAGCCTCTTAGAGCATCTTCAACAAATACTTTAAAATAGAGATTTTGGAGATTATTTTGTTCGAACAACTATTCTAAATAAAGAAAACAAGAAATGTGTTATCGTTTTAATTGTGGAGATAGAATTATTATCTTAATTGTTTCCACCACTAAGGTTAATGGTATTTTCTATAAAGTTTTCTTAGAAATATTTGGAGGATGAATATTTTTAGTAATACAATTAATGTTGAAATCTTTAAAATAGAAAATCTGTTGGAGTTGAATATAATTTTTCTTATGTATTTTAACTTTTGATTTTATATTTTAAAGAAATTATAGATTATGTGATGGATTCCTTATTAACCCATGTGTTCTTAAAGAAAGGGTTCGCAACTTGAAGAGTGTTGAAGAGGACTCACATTTTGACTCGGAGTTTCGACGAAAATGCCATGATTTATGTTGTCAAGGTCGATAATGGTTCGGGTATCTACACTTGCACATTTTTACAGAAGCAATCATTGCTTTGAAGCGGTTATTGAGAAAGTTGGAAAGTCGTTCAATGAAATTGTTGACATGAAGAGAGCCATGAAAGAAGATGAGGAGCATGAAAAATGGACAAGTGGTTTTTTTGAGCATATTCTTGTAATAGTACGACATTTGAGCATATATTTGTAATAGTTCGACCATTGAGCATATATTTGTAATAGTTCGACCATTGAGCATATATTTGTAATAGTTCGACCCTTGAGTATGTATTTGTAATAGTTCGACCCTTGAAATTATATTTATAATAGTTTTTGAACATATACTTGTAATACAACGATCCTTGAGCATATACTTGTAATACGACGATCCTTGAGCATATCTTTGTAATAATTCGGTCATGAGCATGTGTTTGTAATAATTCGGTCGTGAGCATATATTTGTAATAATTTGATCATGAGCATATATTTGTAATAACTCGATCATGAGCATATATTTATAATAATTCGGTCCATGAGCATATATTTGTAATAATTCGGTCCATGAGCATATATTTGTAATAATTCGGTCCATGAGCATATATTTGTAATCCATGAGAATATATTTGTGATAATTTGGTCCTTGAGAATATATTTGTAATAATTCGGTCCTTGAGCATGTATGTGTAATATTCCGATCATTGAGCATGTATGTGTAATATTCCGATCATTGAGCATGTATTTGTAATGGCACAGTCCTTGAGCATATAGTCGTAATGGCACGGTCCTTGAGCATATAGTCGTAATGGCACGGTCCTTGAGCATATATTTGTAATGGTACGATCCTTGAGCATATATTTGTAATGTTACGATCCTTGAGCATACATTTGTAAATACTACGATCCTTGAGCATACATTTGTAAAATTTCAATACTTGTGCATATTTTTGTAGTAGTTTGATCCTTGAGTATATTTTTGTAATAGTTTGATACTTAACCATATTCATGTAATAGTTCGATACTTAATCATATTTTTGTAATATTTTGATCAATTGTTAACAGATCAATCGGATGCAACCAACTTAGGTTCACACTAAAAAGTTATATGTTTCCCATCAAACTACTAATTTTTCCACATCACCACAACCATGTTCGCAAACAAGTGTCAAAAATGTCATCATTTTTTGGTTTCCGGTTTTTGAACAATTATTAGAACCAAGTCTCAAATGAATATGACGAATTCTATGTAGAACCTTTAATCTGAATTAAGAATCTTATCCTAACATATTTTTATAGATTCCAAGAAAAAAGATGTTAAATGATTGACTACTAACAAGTATTTGAATCAATTATATTCCAATTCTCCTATTTTATTTTTATCCACCATTTACATGAATACGTGTAAATAAAGAGAAAATGTAAATATGAATTAAATATATCTTAATCTTTTTTTAAGCATATAATATTTATATACAACAAATAGAACAAATAATATTTATTTGGTGAGGTTTGAACCCTTTTCCTCGTACCAATGACTCACATACTGCTAGGAAACAAATAATCTTTATGGAAAATATTGTATGAAAATCAAAAACCATAACATTTCATCCTCTAAAAAACTCAAATCGTTTGTCAAAACTCTCAAGATTCTTACATAATTCTATGAGTAACTGCAATGATTTTTTCTAATAAAAGGAAAAATATATTTTATCATCATTGAAAACCTGTAAAAGCTTCCAAGAAATACGTACCAAATGTATGCATTAATGGCGATAATCCGTTGTTAGTTAGTCAACTTTCCGAGCATCTTGACCGTCGTACGGCGGCGATACTTGCTCTCCGCCACGTTGATCATCATCCAGGAGCCACATCCTCAATCGACCGTCTCTCAGAGGACTCCTCACCAACTGTGGCCACCGATTCGGTACCATAAAGATCTGTAACCGTCCATTCTCCCTAACTGTCACCAGATCGAATCTCTGCCGTCCGTTTATGTTCAAAGTCGATAAATCTGGCGGGAAATCGTAAGCCTCTTCGTATCGATAACTCTCTCCACCTCTCATCCGATCAGGCGAAATCTGCACCGCCTCTTTCGATTTTCCTCCCGTCGTTGCATCAGTAGCACCGCCGTTAACAGTCGTATCGGAGTTTCCAAGCCCTAGGAGATCAATTTCGGGATTTTGCAACGCAACACTCTCATCCTGATCTTCTTCCTCAATATTCTCGTTCTCCAGATTTGATGATCCTTCTTCTCCATCGTTCTTGTCGTTGTGAACATATTCTGGTGGCTGATGAACATCGGCCGGCGGTGACTGAGAATCGTCGGCGGTAGTGGAACTCATGATGATGAATTCCACGAGATTCAACACCGACAAACTTTACCCATGATAATAGTAATGGAACTGATCAGCGATTCACTATATACAGGGATTGCTTGGATTTCGATCGAGAGATCCATCAATAGAAGAGAAATCGTTCAAGAGAAATTTCAATATTTCCGAAATCAAAAACTTCCGTTTTAATGCAAATTGCGGCGGTTTTTGCATTTTAATTCTAATGCTAATATATATATTTTTAAATATTTCCATTTTATAAGATAATATTCCATCTACTGAACCAAATCAATCGTTATGTTATGGAATTTGGTAACAACCATGGAAATAAAATATGTTATTTTTACAAATATACCTTTTAAAAATATGTCTTTTATTATGAAATGTTGGCAATTTTGTAATTTTATTAATATTTTTAGGGTAAGTTATATGAAAAAATAACGTATTTTAAGTTGATTCATATTTTGGTTAACACACTTTCAAAACATCCATTTTGGTACCTAAAATGTAAAGTTTTAAACATTTAAGTATGTAGGTAACTGGTTGAAGTATTAACCGGTTACCATGTTGGTTGGCTTGGTGAGGGTGATGGCCATGCCGAAGCTCTCCTCCTTGTCCTTCCTTTTTTGCCTTTCAAAAAAAAAATGTGGTATCCAACTCAGAGTTATTTGTTGAAGCGTTAAACGGTTACCATGTTGATGTGGCGAGTCATGTGGTATCCAACTCAATGTTATTTGTTGAAGCATTAACCGGATACCACATCAACATGGTAACCGGTTAATACTTCAATCAAATATTCGGGTATTTAATTGTTTAAACTTTACATCTTAGATACCAAAATGAAAGTTTTAAAAGTACATTACCTAAAATAGAAATCAAGTTAAAGTACGTTATTTTTTTCCATTCAATTTACTCACATTTTTTAAATGGCTTTAATTTCTTTTTCTTTTTTCTTTTTCCTCCCACATCTGCAAGGAAAGTTTTGGGAAGAAAGTTATGATTATTTTCCTATTTGTTTCCTTACGTTTCCCTCCTAAAAAAAATTCGAGAACACGGGTTTTTTTTTTCCTCTACTTTCCTTACCTTCGTAAAAAGGTTTCGAGAACACAGCATAAAGACATATTCTATCAGGAACCTCATTTTCATTGATAACCGGAGAACCATGATAGTGCGTCACATATGCTTAGTCATGATAAATATGGATGGATGTGTATTTTAATGAAATCTGTATTCATAATGCATGTTTTAAAAATTCACATCTATATTCATTATGAATTTGAACATGTGGCGAAGTGTGGCCCCAATGTATAAGATAATGTGTGACCGCTTCCTTTCTCTACGTCAGATAAACAAAACCAGCGTTACGAAAGGTGTCACTGTATTATAATATGGGTGCAAGAGTATATATTTTGAAATTACCATAATAACATAAGTTTGCAATGGTAAAGTTGGTTTAGACGGCTTTTCTCCCATCCTAGGAGCGGGTTCGAGTCAGGTTTCAATCGTTTTTTTTTAGCTGATAATTTCAGGTTTACAAGTTTATTACATTTCTGGGGGAGAAATATGACAAAATACTCGTACACAAGACATCACATACGAAAAATGAGGAACTAACCAACAGACTGATAATGATTTTTTTGAAAAATAACCACAGCTTTATTTCTTATAGTCAAATGAGGCTACGACTCGAAAAACCTAGGTTTGCCTCTGCATGCGTCGCGCTCTCATTGGTTCCCCGATTCTCAGTGAAAATGAGATTCCTAACGAAACCTCACGTTCATCAAATGTTGTAGTTGTTCTGTTTTTTGGTATACTGAATACTGTTACGTCAAATGTTTTTTGGTATTTTGATAATGTTTTGTTAACTATAAATAAAATGTGTCAAAATATAATGAATTTTGTCCTATTTTTCTAGTAGTATAACGGTGAATTTATATTTTCGGTCAGTATCACGAGCTCTTAAAAAATTGATTTTCCATCTATTTTGACTAGTAACAGGTAGATCTTATAATTGTTTATAACGTGCATGTCAAATTGTCTAAGGGCCTAAGGGGTTGTTTCTTTACCTCTTAATAGTTCCATTAAGAGGCAGTTTTTGAACCGTTAAGAGGTGAATCTTGTTTGGCCAAAAAAAAATTATGTCACTTAATGGTTTTAAAACTCTCTGAATGATTTTGTATCTTGGGTCTCCCTTAACCATTCAGCGTCCTAATTTCGTTGTAAATAATTACCAAACAATTATATTTCATTTTGCATTATATCATGAGAGTCTTTTAATCATTCCTACCACTTGATCATTCTGTACCAAACCATTTAGCAACTGTTAAAAAGTCCCTAAATTATATCGTAACTTCCACCCACGTGGAATATGTTACATCACATCTACCGATGGCACGTAATTGAGAACTCGTTTATTAAATAAAATGGATATAAAACACGGAAAACTGAAATTTTGTTACACAATCTTAGAAAAAAAACCGTTGTTACACTAAATAAGAAATAAGACAGATTTTGTTACATTTTGATGTATTTCGACTTTAACTAAAAACGACATTAATACGTTAAAACAATAAGGAAACTAAAAAACATAAACCTTATCAAACGAGTTATATAAATGAACTCGATCCAGTGATTTCTAGCCGTTAATGGCAGCTTGAATCTGTTCCAATGTTCTTCCTTTCGTTTCGGGCACCATCTTGATCACAAACACGATTGCAACTGCATTTATCGCTGCGTAAATGATGAACGTACCTGTAATCACACAAGAAACTGAATCAATCACACTGTTGCAATGTCATTCGCTTTTGGGTTTTCGTTGGATATAAGGCTTGAATTTGACTGTAAAAAAGGGATGACGCCAGCCAGTAGACTGCTCCTACCGTACTGGTAGGTGTGAACCTATGAAGGCCCCAACAAGATCCCATGCACCTGCGCAATCGATTTTTGCAAGTAGAATTTTTCTGAGGTATGAAAGGTGCACACGCTAAACTTTGATGGTACTGATCCAAAATGTTAGAAAATACAAAGAACATAACTAGAAAACCGAAAAAGTCTCTCGAAATCAACTAAAAACCCTGAAATTGTCTCTCGAAATCAATAAAAAGGGGGGAAAAAGTCTCACGAAATCAACTAAAAACCCTGAAATTGTCTCTCGAAATTAATAAAAAAGACGGGAAAAGTATCGTGAAATCAACCTAAAACTTGAATCCCTCGAAACGGGAATCTGACTAAAAACATATCGGACAATTTTACGGGCCTTTGATCCATCTTGAAGACAAAAATCTTGGATCCACCCACTGATACCGGTCCCACGACCATCGTGGGGAAAGTAATTCTCATGTCCCACGGACATATTCTATTTTGAAGTATATGATATTTATATACGGCAAATGCAACAAATAAACTCACACACCCTCCCCATATTTGGTGAGATTTGAACCTTTGACCTCCTAGGAGGCCAAAGACTACGATACCGCTAGGCCAAAAGCCCTTTGGTTCCCAAAGCCATATTATTGGTGGTGTGCCTAGAGTCTTCATTCTGCAAAGATATTCACCTCCTTACCCGTTATGCTTAATATGCTAAAGTTGTATAGTCGTTGTCTTCTAGGTATATAATATGCGTATACAGCGAATTAACACACACCCTCATCATCTTTGGTGATATTTGAACTCTGATCTCTAAAAAGTTTGAGTTACCGGATACAGATAAAGATACAGATACGGATACATATACAGATACAGTTGTCGAATGCACTTTGATCACAATTATGATTGTTGATGTTATGGTTAGCGACTTTGCGTGTGTGTGACTTTTGCCGTATAAACTTACCATAGGAACTCCAGCTTAAGAGAAAATTAAAAGTATACGAAATCGCCCACGCGCCGAACCAATTCACCAGAGTCGCGAGGCTTCCGGCCGCTCCTTTTATGTTAATCGGGAATATCTGAATAAAAAAGCAGGTGTTCGGTTATTGTAATGAACGATAAATTTATATACAAGAGAACGGTGTCGATCTTGAATTACCTCGGACATTATAACCCATGGAATTGCTCCCATTCCGGCTGAAAACGAGCCGATATACAACAGTACGTGTTCAAGAAAACGTTAAGAATTCAGAGCTCAAGCACACGACGACGATATCAATAGTTCAGTTTTTCGATTAATCTTTGAAATTACCAGAATGCCCGTTACGGCAAGTGCGGGTGCTACTGATAGTCCTATTTCGTACGTCTGATAACAAAAGATAACGTCAGACGATGGAGAAAAAAGGTATAAACGAACGGAATACTACCTTAAAGTAGAACGAAAGTGCCGTTAGTAGACATCCCAAAACCAATCCCGTCGACGAAACCTTGAAAGATAAACATAAACGTTACAGTTGTCCGTTGCTAATGGTGTTTGCGACAGAAAAGGTGTCGCTAAAAACATGAAATGCGTCGTGTTTCGTTGGAGGTATTCTAGTTACCAATAAAAGAGGTTTTCGACCGGCTTTGTCTATGAATAGCGCATTTAGCGCGGTAATCACGATCTGTAACAATGCATAGATTATCGTTCCAAGATCAGCGGGAAATCCTGAAAGAGGCAACGACCCAGTTGATTAAACACGTTATATGATATTGATATGGTTAATGTGACGGACGAGGGCTATATATATACCTGCGGTCTCGAAAATACTACTCGTGTAGAAACAGATACCGTTGATTCCTCCGAATTGTTGGCAAACCATTAGCCCGACTCCTATCTTCACGTTACAAGCCAGAAAACGTTAAACATTATGGAACGAAACGTTCCATAGGCGTAATCCAAGAATTCTAAGAACGGTATTCGAAAACGAGATGAACTTACAACGACAGATCGAGAGTATCGTTTCTGAAACAAATCAAGTAGTCTAGTTTTCGGGAGCTTTTCTAGCGTTTCTATATAATCCTGTAAACAATTACGTAATGTGCAGATACGACGAGGTCAGAGGTACAATCCTACGTGATCGATAACCGCATTATATCCGAGCTGGAGGTGGGGTCCGGCGGTGGGAAGTATGCAGATTTGATCTTTACCCAAAGAGGAAAAGAGTAAGAGCAATTGTTTCCATGAAAACCCTGATTTCGAGAGTTTGTGAAACACAAACCTGGATTTCTGCGGCTTCTTCGGATATGTCGGCATCCTTTCCTCGAAGTTTTCGAAGCGCAATTGCGAACTCTTTTTGGTTTCCGATCTTAGCCTGCACGTTTATCAAACACCGTTTTCTTGATCCTCTTTTATCGTAATCTAACTGCGAAAACAATAAGATCTTACCAGCCATCTTGGCGATTCAGGTATAAAAAACAATCCGATTACGAGAACAACGCATGGACCCACTCCTGCAACCGTTACAACTTCGATCTGTCACTATTCAAGATTCCGGTAGCAACCGAATTCATTCCAACAAGTGTCCTTTCACCCAATTGACCTATAGCGACGCAGAGTCGTCGCTGTAGGTTTCTGTTGCGATGAACAAAAAATCGTCGCAATAACTTTCCTTTTTTAATTATATATAATAGTTATATACGACAAAACTCACAAACACTCCTCACATTATGCGAGGCTTGAACCCAAATACCGTTGGACCAATAACCCACTGGTTGGCCCGTTTTCTTGTAGTGTGGTGTATGTGTTTCGACCGTTGGTACCTGTCAACGCTAAGATCCTCCACGGCGTCACAGTCCCGATCACGAAGGCAAGGGACACGGCTGCAACGATCATAAGCTGCATATACCGATGACAAAATTCAACGTAAAACTTAGCACAATCCAGATATCTGAAGATACGTGAAATCTCTACAGATCACTTTCCAAAAAAGCCCTTAACGACATAACGGAAACTCCAACAATACGATCATAACCTGATTTGCTGCCGTCAACGATCCTCGTAGGTTTTTCGGTGCAATTTCGGCTATGAACACCGGTACAACGTATGAAAACACTCCCATCCCGTATCCCGTTGCTAGTCTTCCGCTATCCAGCACCACGGGCCCCTTTCGTAAAAGAAAAACCTCTTCATTTTGTGCGATTATAACACAAATTCGCAACGAGGAATACGAGTTTATTTACGTACCATAGCAAAGTAAATCGCTAGCCACCCGACCGAACAAAAAACGCTCGATATCCTCAAAGCCTGTTTACATTTTCCGTTACCCATAATTTCGTGTTGCACAAATGGCTGATAACATCAAAAGATTCGAACTCAAATAACTTACCCCTTTACGACCAACAAAATCGGCAATCGGTCCACTCGTGATGGCCCCGATCATTGCACCAAATGTCAAAATTGAGCCGAACAACGAGTACTGCAAAAAGGGCGATTCAAATTTAAGCTCGGTAACTGTTAGAATATCTGGAACCCATCAGACTACTTTCAAAACTGCCTTAACATGAAAGTGAGGTTCCCAACGGATATCGATGAGAATTGGTCAAAGTCTATCGAGTGGACTTATCAGCATCACGCTTCAATAACATTAACGTTGAGAATCATGTTTGTATCGAGATGAAACTGAAATTACTATACTAACCTCGGCTAGTGACAGATTTAGATCTTCCCGGATGGCGGATTGGGTAGGCGACGTGTAACCCGCCTGGAAAAACGTGTACCGATCGTTATTGGTTTTACGATTTTAACGAATATGATACGGATTCAGAACTTACACATGATCCGAAGGCGAAAGAACCACAAACAGCAACAAATGTGCTAAGATAAACCATGAAGTTGTTCTGCTTGCAGCTTTCTTGTTTGCATTCGTCGATCGTTTGAGCTACGAGCGGGGCTCGTATCTCGTCTTGAATCGCGATCTCGGTTTTCGCCATATCGAAAATAATTCCGAATCAAATGCAAGAAAGATCTGCAAATGAAATTAAGCTGTTTAGCTGTGTTTCATCGAACTAGTAGTGTATATATAGTATACATACACATACGTATATATATATATATTACTCTATATATATATATATATATACAGTATGCTCATCTTGCTATTTTTAAAGGTTAGATCGATGGATGTTTGTAAATCCTCACGTGGGTTGCTATTTCTTATCGATGGCAGTTATCCAGACTTGCTACCTGATCAAATATGCGACGGATTTTTGCTTTTTAGCGACGGATTTTGCATTAAGCGATGGATTCCACCAAAGCTAAGGTATTGTTTGTTTACCTTAATAGTTTCATTAAGAGGCAACATTTGAATCGTTAAGAGGTGAATCTTGTTTGGCAAAAAAAAAGTCTGTCTCTTAATGGTTCTAAAACTCTCTGAATGATTTTGTAGCATGGGCCTCCCTTAACCATTAAGAGCCCTAATTTCAGTGAACACAATACCAAACAATTACATTCCATTTTACACTATATTATGAGAGCCATTTAATCATTCTACACCAAATCATTCAGCAATTGCCATACAGCCCCTAATATTGCTTTTGGATTATCTGAAAGGACAAAATGTTCAAAATCCAACAAAGTTTGGTTTAGTTTTCGGTACAAATTGTATGAAAAAGTAATGTACTTTAACTTGTTTTCTATTTTGGGTAACGTACTTTTAAAACTTTCATTTTGGTACCTAAGATATAAAGTTTTAAGCATTTAAGTATTCAGGTAACCGGTTGAAGACTAATTTTAAATTAAAAAAATTCATGTCACTAACCACGTCATCAAATAATAGTGAGTTGGATACCATATCAACATGATAACCGGCAAACGTTTCAAACAGTTACTCGGGTACTTAAATGTTTAAAACTTTACATCTTATATACCAAAATAAAAGTTTTCAAAGTATGTTACCTAAAATATGAATCAAATTAAAATATATTATTTTTTCATGTAATTTGTCCACGTTTTCATTCAATATAACACTAAATTTGTTTAATTGATGTTCAAAAGAATTAGAAAATTTTGGACCTCATTACTTTTGATAAGAAATTCTGAAACGATTGAGAAAAAATTATTTATTACACTAAATAAAAACTAAAATAAACTTTATTGAATTTGTTAGAAATTCTCCAAAAGAACACAAACTTTAGCGACTCTTCAAGGCTTTTGTGACGGGTAGGGGTGTTCAAAGAAACCGTTGGACCGTTCAAACTGATCGAACCAAGTGTTTTTGACGTTTTGAGTAATATGTTAGTCTACGATTCGACGTTTTCATGAACAGTTTGAACTGAACGTACCATCAAAATACACATGTATTAATTATATTTAGTTTTTATGCCGTAAAATTCTCCAAATTTGGAGATTCTGCCTCTCTCTATCTTTTTCTATTTAAATATACATCACAACATAAGTGTTGGAACAATCTTAAATATGTAAAATCTCTATTTTAACATAACTATTATAGTAAAAGTTATATTTTAAAGGGCAAATTTTCGGTAACGTACTTTCAAAACTATTATTTTTGTACATAAGACGTAAAGTTTTAAACATTTAAGTACCCAGGTAACTGGTTAAAGCATTAACCGGTTATTATGTTGATGTGGCGAGTAAGGTGATATTCAACTCAATATTATTTGTTGACGTGGTTAGTAACATGAATTTTTTTTAATTTAAAATTAGTTTTCAACCGGTTACCCATATACTTAAATATGTAAAACTTTACATTTTAGATATCAAAATGAAAGTTTTGAAAGTACGTTACCTAAATAAAAAATGTCTATTTTAATATAACTGATGTGTTATTCAAGAAGACGTTGAAAATGATTAGTTAATAGTTGCAATTAATTTATTACTCTATTTCCAGTTGTGGTTTGTTGTCGTTATGGTTGGTATCAAATATTTTACCATTTAAATTATCAAATATTTATGCAAATTTTGCAGAAATTTTTGTCATTTTTATTAAATTAATGCTATTTCAGATCTCTATTTTTGCAGGCCAAAAATAATTAATTCATATATTAAAGGATAATGTGCTAAAATAAAACCTACTCTATTTCAATTATATTTATATTAATTTTATAATTAAATAAGTATTTACTATTAAACTTTTAAAATATAACATTTAAAAAATAGTAAATATAATCATTTTATAAATATTTATTTGGACAAATTACATGAAAAAGTAACGTGCTTTAACTTTATTCATATTTTTGGTAACATACTTTCGACACTTTTATTTTGGTACTTAAGATGTAAAGTTTTAAACATTTAAGTATCCGGTTAACCAGTTGAAGCATTAACCGGTTACCATGTTGATGTGGCCAGTGATGCAGTATCTGAATCAGTATTATTTGCTATTCAACCCAGTTTCATCGCATCACTCGTCACATCAGCATGATAACCGGGTAATACTTCAATCGGTTACCCGAATCGGTTACCCGGTTACTTAAATTTTTAAAATTTTATATCTTAGGTACATTTGAAAGTAGGTTACCCAAAATAAGAATCAAATTAAATAACATTACTTTTTCATGTAATTTGTCCTATTTATTTAACATGTACGATGAGAAAAAAAGCAATTAGAAGATGTCATTTATAAAATATATATTTTTACTTATTTACAATGGATTATAATTTTATAAATATTTATAATTATTTTTTTCCGTCCCTTTCATTCCTTCCTGAAAAAAGAGTTGGGAATGCAGCGAAAAAGATGATACGAAAGGCTCATTTACCAAATATTTATAGGGTAAGTGTTTAACGACAAAAATTATCATTCTCACTTACTTTACTGATTAATATTCTCGTTCATCAAAATGGATTGTTTGTAAGCGTCTTTAATCCGGTAAAACGCTTATGAGGTAAGAGTATTTTCTCTCGTGCTTATTGGTAAAAAAATTTGTCTTTACTATGCTTCTTATCGAGTAAGACTTTAGGTCCTTGTCATACTCACCCAATAAGGTTGATTACACATGCTAAACGCTTAGGGACCGTTTACTCAAATGTTTACCCGGTAAGTACTTACCGATAGGAGTCAACACTATAATTTATTTTTCTGGATAAGATTGTAGTGCATCAAAACGATATAGTATGCAACAATTTACCTGGTAAGGACTTACCCGGGTACGAGTCTTCACTCTCACTTACTGGGTAAGACTATCCATCATTTCACCACTCTTACCGGGTAAGACTCTCCATTTTACCGTTCTAACCGGGTAAGATTCTAAACCCTTACTATGTTCATTCGGAAAATAAAATTACCCGGTAAGCACTTAGTGGATAAGCATTTGGTAAACGGTTCCTTACTCAATAAACATTTGGTAAACAACTTCAACGTAACCGCCTAAAATAACAATTAGGCTTTGATCGGTGTTGAAAGTGTAATTAAGCTTTGGGGATTAATTTTCTTTAAATACTTTGAACCCTACCCCGATGGCCTAATTCCAAGTATCGTTTGGCTTATTTCCGAAGATGAACGAGTGAGTTTGGTTGCAGACGTGATCGGTGAAAAAGAACTGTGAAAGATTTTAGTATTTTAAGTTTAACATAAATAATTTAGTAATTTATTAATCTTGTTACATCTCACTAATTATTGTTCCACCTGCGGAGATGGTCTTACTTAGTCCTATTGTGTCCTAAACTAATATTGCATCAAACGTAGAATAAGTTTTTGTTTCGTCTTACCTTATCCTATCATGTGTACGGAACTACGCTTTACGCCGGTGCGTCTAACCAATTCTTAACCAGATTTAATTGATCTCCGGTTTTTGGGGGCCAAAGTCTAGTAGACTGTAGGATCTCGTCTTTTTGTACGTCTTTATATCAACTACATCAAGTGGTTGTTTGGTTGGTTTTCTATTAAGTCATATATGAGTAAAATTGTTTGTGTAGATTAATGTCTGGATAAATTTGAGAATGTTTGTGTTCGGGAGTGTTTCTTCTAGATGAAAGAAGCGTGTTTTTAATTTGAAGGCACAGGTTTGAAAAAAAACAAACTTGACTTGCCTTTCTGTATAAAACTCCCCCTACAAAATAAAATTTAACGTTATTATTTACTTATCGGATAAGATTTTAATCCATCAAAATGACATCGTATGCAACAATTTACCCGGTAAGCGCTTAACGTGGTAAGAGTCATCGTCTCACTTACCGGGTAAAACTTTTGATCTTTATCTCGTTCTTACCGGGCAAGATTCTTGGTCTTTACCATATTCATGCGGTGAGTAATGTTACTTGGTAAGCACTTACCCGAATAAGTGTTTGGTAAACGGCCCCTTAGTTTGATGCGTATAGTATGACCATGACTGAAATCGGCGATCTTAATTGGTTGATGTGAAACACGCCTATTCGGCATGGAGCATGTTTTACGAATAATATACAAGTGTAAGATTCAAACTCAAAACTTTTAAGTTACAAGAATAAAATTTCACCCACGTAAAAGAATCTGAACCCGTGATAATAACAAAATCATGAAGTGGTACCTCTCTCCGGTGCTATCGGCAATTTGAAAGACGACGTTCTTCTTCTTCCACCTCCTCCCTGGCGACGGGCCGCCCGTCCTCAAACATATACGCTTGGTACCCTCTAGGAGTAGAAAGTTGACCCGATCCATTACTACTAACGGATTTCTCGATATCCTCAATCCCCGCTATAAGCGGTATCGGTCTTTCGGGTATGGAAGGAACCGGCAAATCCGTATCCAACATCTTCAATACTTGGTCCATTGTTGGTCGGGCGTACAACTGCGGGTGAGAAGAGAGAACCGCCGCCAACACATACTTCTCCATGATCTCCGGCGAACCACATTCCGACATCTCATCGTCGATAACTTCTAATGGTGTACCTTTTCGCACCATCGACCAAGCCCAATCGGCTAGAAGAACCGGTTGTTGGCCATCCCCGATTCCAAGAAGAGCCTTTTTCCCACTTAAAAGCTCCAAAAGCACGACTCCAAAGCTATAAACGTCACTTCTTTCGGTTAATTGACCGTATAACGCGTACTCTGGGGCCACGTAGCCCATTGTTCCGGCCACCCGAGTGCTCAGATGGGTCGCACCCTCGGGTGCGAACTTTGCCAGCCCGAAATCGGCCACTTTAGCCTCGAAGTTCTCATCCAACAATATGTTGCTCGCTTTTATATCTCGATGTATGATTGCGGGTTGCGCTCCATAGTGCAAATAAGCCAATCCTCGTGCCGTACCTAATGCAATTTTCCGGCGAATCGGCCAATTGAGGTGGCTCCGAATCGAGGAATTCCCGAAAAGATGATCGTGAAGGCTGCCATTTTTGACCAAATCGCAAACGATGATCCGTTGGTAACCTTCGAACGGGGTGGTGGCGGTGCAGTAGCCTCTCAACGCCACCAGATTTACGTGGCGGACACTGGCGATGACCTCCACTTCATGGGTGAAAATGGCGTCGCCGGCGGCGGAACAGTTTTTGAATCGTTTCAGTGCGACTTCAGATCCATCTGTCAAAAAACCTTTGTATACGTTTCCATACCCTCCTTTCCCAATTATGTTGTCTCTCGAGAAGTTTCTAGTAGCTTCTTTGATATCATCAATGGTGTATCGAATTAGGGTTGTACTTCCGGTGATCGAATCTAAAGCAGAGACGGAATTGATTTCAGCTACTCTGGATCTTCGTTTTAGCTTCAAATTCTCGAGTTTTTTCCTCCGATAATACCAAAATCCAATCGAAATTGCCAATAGAAAAACCGTAATGATCACAACGATGATCACAATTACGATTGTATTCAATTTGTTCTTCGAATCTGCAGAGGCGAGATCAAGGGAGAACAAACAGACGGCCGTACCTCTATCTGTGGGACCGAATCGGTTGGCGAAGGCGGCGGCGTAGATAAACGGATAAGCACGGCAGTCAGTTAGGTTTCCGACGGAGGCTCCGTTCAAGTACGACGCCTGGAGATTAGAAAGTGCGACGGTGCACGCCGAACAGGAGGAGCCGGAGAGTGACTGATTACATGCTGAAACGGCGGTGTTTAACGAAGATCTAGATACGTTACCTTCAAATTGTCGCCGGTTAGTTATATTCATACAACCGGGGACGGCGATCCAGTTCGTTTCAAAGCCGCAGTTTCGCCGGAGGTCAAAATTAGGGAAGAAGTCAGCGACAACGGTTTGGTATGAAGCCCAACACGACTCGGCGGAGTTAAGCGGCGGCACGAAGGAGCTCGTACGACGAAGGTAATCAGCTTCTACTAACCGGAGACCTTGTTGAGTGTACCGGCAGACGGTTTGAGGATCGAGGCTAGGGCGGAGGGAGCCAACAAGCCGGCGAAGCAAGTCAAAGCTCAGAGGACATGAAACGTTGGCGCTTTGGAGTAGAGTCCGGTGATGGTGGTGGTGGTTATCGGAGCTGGTGGAGAGAGAGAGTGAGGGTAGAAAGAGGAGGAGGAGGAGGCGGCGGAGGAGGAGGTGGCGGTGGATGGCCATGGCGGAAGGTGGAGGGTACTGGGTACAGGTGGTACAGCAGGATGTACTAGTGGTAAAGATCCCGACGAGGAGGGGTGTTTTTGACTTTTTATATGGTCTCGAGTTAATTACGTTTTTCATCTCTCTGGTTTATTAAAAATTATGATTTTGGTCCCTATAGTTTTAAAATACTGTTTTCGTCCCTGTAATTTGTATTTGTTATTATTTTTGTCCCTGAACCTACACCTACTTTTAAGTATGAAATACTATAACAGCAAAACAAAGTAAACTATAGGGACCAAAACAGAAATAAATTATAAACTATAAGAACTAAAACAAGAATAAATTATAAATCAGATGAAAAACTTAATTTCATAAACACAGAGTTAAAAATAGCATTTTTAACAAATCACAAGGACTAAAACTGTAATTTACTCTATGGTCTAAATTGGAAGCAGCCATATGACAGAGGATTAAATCGGACGACCAGTTGCACGACACGTGGCTTTCTCTTCATGGCCCACGTTTATGGATAATTAATTCTTGCTTTGCATCGTTTTAAATAAAAAAAAGCCCACGCAATAATATATTTGTATATTCTCACATGAGGCATATTTGAATATTAATATTTTAAATATGATTAATTTATGTGACATCATCTTGTTTTCATAAGATTCAGTAATAACATTTATATTACAGAGCAAAAAATTGTTGGGTTTTTTTTCCAAAGATTTGGTATTTTTTTATAAGTTTATAATGTTTTATTGTAGAGTTTTAGTGTTATTTTATGATCGATCTTATGAAAACAGTCTGATCTCATATGATTCCATAATAATATAATGCTTTAGTTTGGATTTATCTATAAATAAAAGTATATGCTTGATTTATATATGATTTCATAAAAAATTATTTATTATTGGTTAATTTTTAAAATATTTTGTGATAAGGACAAAATTATGATAAATTAAGATTAAATTAAGATTATCAATTAGATTTGTTAGTTTTAACTTGTTTACTTAAAAAAACGATTATGGTATTATTTATTTTTAGTTAGTTAAATTAGTCATTCGACTTAGGGGCCGTTTACCCAAATGTTTACCTGGTAAGCGTTTACCGGTAGAAGTCAACACTATAATCTATTTTACCAGGTAAAATGGTATATATTAAAATAGTATCATATGTAACAATTTACCCGGTAAACGTTTACCCGAGTAAGAGTCATCATCATCATCACTTATTGGGTAAGACTCTCTATCCTTATCATTGCTCTTACCGGGTAAGAGTCATCACTTATCAGGTGAGACTCTCTATCCTTATCATTGCTCTTACCGGGTAAGATTTTTGGCCCTTTTCATGTTCATCAGGTAAGAAAATTTACCCGATAAGCACTTGCAAGGTAAGTATTTAGTAAAAACGACACCTTGGTCCTTTTGCATGTGGTTGGTTCCAGTTTAGACAGTGTAACAAGTTAAAAAGCTCCCCTCGTCGTCGGAATCTCTATAGCCCACCAAAAAAACACATGTTCTACCACTAGAATGTATGCTTGTATCGTTGTATCCTCCTCTTTCTACCATCACTCAATCTCTCCACTGCCTCTAACCACCACAATCACCACCATTACCATTGGACTCTGCTCCAAAATGTCAATGTTTCGTGCCTTTTAAGCTTTACTTTCTTTACCAGTTTGTTAGCTCTTGTCACCATACCTTCAATGCTCAAACCGTTTGCCAGTACACCTTGCAAGGTCTCCCGTTAGTATAATCAGTTAAAGGTTGTTGAAGTATCACCGTTTTATGATATACAAGCATGCAATGTTAATCAGTAAAAAAATACATATATAAACAAAAAATGTATTTTTTTTTAAAACGAATAAATAATGCATTTTTTAAAGTACCATTTACTTTACCTCACATTTTTTTAATTATATAAAACGTGAATTATTATATTTATTTATTTAATCATGGCAAATTAAATTATAATTTTTTTGAGTAAATTATGCTTTTTGTCCCTATTATTTATTAAAAGTCATCTCTGTTTAGAAATTGTGATTTGACGTTTTCCTTTCATGTGATTTAGCATTAATTATTATTTTTGAATTATTAAGAGGTGAATTTTATTTGAAAAAAAAAAATTGTCTCTTAATGATTTTAAAACCCGCTGAATGATTTTGTATCATAGGTCTCTCTTAACTATTCAGCACCCTAATTTCATTATAAACATTTATCAAACAATTATATTTCATTTTACACTATATAATGAGAGTCACTTAATCATTATGATCATTTAATCATTCTATACTGAATCATTCATCAATTACCATAAATTCCCTTACTCTATTTTATTAAACAAAATAGATACTTAAAAGTCTTCCTTTGAAAAAAAAAGGTTAAATGCACTAATTGTCCACGAGTTATTGACTTATTTTTGCATACCTTTTTTGACTTGTTTTTCACTTCAAATAGGTTATAATATTACCAAATTAAAATTTTATAATTTAAAAAAAAAAAACGATTGAGGCCCGATCAAGTTTCGGCATTAAACGAGAACATACTAATTAAAAGAATACGAGAATAGTTGATACATATTAGTTTATATTGCAATCACATAATATTACAGAAAGCAGTTGACATAAATGTATGGGGCATGGTTGGCCCACGAGGCCATGACTTAGGTGGCGTTTGTTTTTTAAGAGGTGCTTAAGTCTGAAGTCTGAAGTCTGAATTCACTTCTGAATTTTAAGAGGTGGTGCTGAAGTCTGAAATCTGAATTCACTTCTGAATTTTAAGAGGTGGTGCTGAAGTCTGAAATCTGAATCAGTCAGACTGTTTGTTTTTACATCTGAAATCTGAATCAGTCAGACTGTTTGTTTTTACGTCTGAAATCTGAATCAATAAGATTGTTTGTTTTTGTAAACTAACAAACTTCTGAAGTCTAAAATCTGAATCAATTCATTTCAATTAAATTTAACTGAAATATCCAATCATTTAAACCATTTGTAAACTACCATATATTTTTCACACATTCAAAAATTCAATTGAAATACGTCCATTGATTCAACACACAATAGAAAAGATGAATAAAGTCTCATAACAACTMGAATCAATATTCATTTTGCATTAATTGTGTCGCAATTTCTTCTCTTAAACTAGCCATATATGTTTGGTCAGCGGCACTCCCATGCGATTGAATCTCTTCAGCCTCATCCTCGTCATCGTTCCCTTGTTCGTTGGTTTGATCATACTCCATTTCGACCCACTTTATGGACCTCTTCTATACAAGTCTCTAGAAACCRTTTGCTAAGTTCATTTGTCCACTTCACACGCACATTATCATCCATGACTAAAATCAAGCAGAAAAGATAAAACACCTAAATCAACATTGTAGTGTGTGTGTATATATATATATATATATATATATATATATGAAATCTGAAAAACCAATCAAATTAAGCAGAAAAGATAAAAATGGTATCGTATGCAACAATTTAACCGGTAAGCRCTTACTGGGTAAGCGATTAGTAAACARCCCCTAAAACGCCCAGTAGAAAAAAAATCGAAATCGATGTGTTTATGCCATTAACAATCAAGGTGTTTGGAAGAATTTGGAAAGGGAAACAAAACAAGAAGCAGCTAGAAGAAAAGGCAAGAAGCCTCTTGGAAGTGCACCAACAGCTTGGGATGAACCTTTAACCACCACCTCAACAACAWGCTGCTGGAAACACACAAGAAGGCTCCAACCACTCACAACAGGTAAGACAGTCTAACTTTTTCAGATCCCCATTAGCTTTGAAACAACATAAGGTCTATGCTGGTAAGTTTGCTCAAACACCCAAAGGATTCAATGATCAAAATATTGYTGCATGCCCTGAGATTAAGTAGATCATTGACAATTTTGAATGGGACATTTTGTGTGTTGTCCCCTGTGCTTATAACTTGGATTGGGTGAGAGACTCTATCTCTAATAGCACAGAGTTAATGGTTAGGAAAACCCCAATCAATTACTCATCTACTACAATCGACAGATTGTTGGGACTCAAGTTTAGAAAATAGCATAATAAGATGAGTTTTGGGTACCATYTGAATTCATGATTGTTGATTTGATTTCATTCTAAAATCAAAATTTCAATCATTAGATTCCATCCCTTGTTGTCTATCACTCAAAATAAGTTATGGGTTCTCTTTCAAATTCTTGTTTGATGGTCTAATCCAAGGTACTTATTAGATCAAATGTACTTGCAAATAGAAATCTAGAAATTTGTACAAGTATCATAAGATTTTGCAAAGATAAAGGACATTTTAGGGGCCGTTTACCAAACACTTACCCGGGTAAGTGTTTGGTAAACTGCCTAAGGCCTTTATCTTTGTATTTTGCTTTGTAAAAGCTTGAATAGCACATTGTCCTTTTTGCAACTAAAAAACTAGTTGTTCACATGCATAGCTTAAGCTACAAAAGCTTTGATTCTTGAGCCAAATTAAGATGAATTATAAAACCATTTCATGCCATTTGTTGCATTTTCATGCCAAATCTGATGCTTTAGCTTTTTCTTAAAAATGAACATAAAAATAATTCTAAAAGAGATGTTCACATGTACCTACCAAGCATCAACATTCAAGAATAAACAGAAAAAGATTTTTACTACAGAATCAGAAATTGGAAAAGAGATTGGGACCCTTTGTGTTCTTATTTCTTAAGATTGCAAAACTAAAAATGTTCATTACTGTTGTCTCACATAGCAGCAACAGCAACATATGTTACATGATTTTTCCACAAAATGAGCAATTGCAGCAAGTTTCATAGCAGCAAGTTTCATAACAAGAAAGCAATTGCAGCTCTAATGGGATCTGGGTTTGCTCTAATGTAATAGCAAGTTTCAAATGCATACATAATTAATCTACTGTGTAATGTGCAGTGAAGGGTAATATTACTTATGAGTAATATTACTCCAAAGTCCAGCCTAAACCYATCCAAGATTTCTTAATGGAGCTCAAGAGCCTCCAAACAACATTCTTCTGGCAAAACAGAAACCAAACAGCATCTTCTRATTATACYGAATAATGAAATGTAGCAGTTGAACTGTC